CGTTCAAAAGGGTCCAGTACGATGTGTCAGCGGGGAAGGGGTGTGCCTTCGGCGATGTGCATTCGTTTAGAAAGCGCTCAGGCCCTTCGGGACGCTTTGTTAATGGAGCGAGCGAGCGAACGCGCCGCGTGATCATTAAAGTGATTGCACCCCGCGAAAATCACGGGGAAAATCGTAGAGACTCCACTCTGCGTTTTGCACCGTAGAACACGTGTTGCCCGCGATTAAATGCGGCTGCCTCGGAGATAATTAAATGTAACGGCGGAGAATACACACCGGCAGCTAGCGAGTTTAATTTCGCCCAGGTTTAGATTCCGACGAAAGTCCGGCTGTTATGAAAAATACCAGTTTTTCTGTTTCCGTGTGATTCATAGCGGGAAAATAAATTTCCGGCGTACCAATGCGCGTAATGTACCCACTCGTGAAATAAGAGGCGAAGCCAAACATATACAGGATGAAACAAAAAATGGAGGTTCATAACCTTCTGCTGTAGATACTCGCCAAATGATGAAAAAAAAGTCGTGAGAGACGTGGATCGAAAAATTAATATTTTCAAAGTTATAAACAATTTTTTGTTTCGGTGTTAAAGCGACTGACTTTCTTACTTCGGGAGCTATCGTACCATATGGAAACAATGGATTACCTAATCATTTCTTAATCTCCTGATTGAAGAAGATTTTCTATAATTTTCATTTGTTTTAGTTACAATTATCCTCATTGTTTCCATACGATACGGTAGCTCTCGAGGCGAGAAGGTCACTCGCTTCAACCGAAAATTTTAAATATTCATTTTCCGACCCACGTATTTATTAGGACATTTTTTCATCGTTTGACAAGTACTATCTACTCCAGATTTTTCTGTTTCGGGCAAAAGAAAAACAAATTTACGAGGGTCTAAAGCATTTCTCCCTATAAGATTATTGTCCCAGCGTGGCCCCAAGTTCGGGACAATAATCGAGAGTCTGTATGCATCTCGGAAAGGGCGCGGGAGCAGCGTCGCGACGCGACAAGTTTCGTGATTTTACGGGGTCGTAAAAACCGAACCAGAAATCCTTGGAGGAACGTGTACCTACCCACCGATCGCGGAAGTTTCTCCGCTAATGTAGAACGCGCGTCACGCTTTGGTACATGCAGTTTAGCAGCATCGAACATTAAACTGCAACACGCGCGGACGGGGGGTGGTTGGTGGAGCAGCTAGTTCATCCTGTCGGTAGTTTATCGTTCCAGGATTTCCTCCTTTCCTCGTTTCCCTCTCCCCTCCTTAAGGGAGGGTGGGGAGGGGCCTAATGGGAACATTTACACCGAATGACTAAACCGCTTCTGAGCCCGACATTGAGGCATCACAAGGAGCCGTCGGGGATTGAAAAATCGATAGACCGGACACGGGTCTGTTGCTGCATTTCAAACGACGAATTAAGTAACAACCAAAACTTTTTTCCAGGTGCTTAGGAGATTTCAAGGTACCTTATACAGATACGGTGTCCACGATAAAGGAATCAAGATATTTAATCGAATGTTTCACGCTGTTCCAGATAATGTTCCGCGGTGTACGGACCATCGAAATCCGTTTGATCATTGGTGCGTGCACCCGAATGATAGTCGCCGCCGGAACGATAGCCGGATGAGTCCGCGGTACCAGATGGAAAAGCGGTTCGGTTCTCTGAATTTTATATAAACCGACGACAAGGAGCGAGAGGGAGACGGCGCAGCCGGGAAAAACGCCGGCGGGGTTTTTCGTTGCTGCCTCGGGATTATAATAATTCGCGTCACTGCGTCCAATTTCAATTTACCTCAGGCTAGGCGGAATGCGTCGCTCCTCACCCCCCCCCCCCTGATGAGGCGAGTGATCACTTCGTCAACCGGACCGGTATGCATCCTGTCCTCGGATCAACGCTCTTTTCCGATGCTATAAGTGACTGTTCGACGTGTCCCGCAGAATAGGAGGAATATTGACTTCGAATTATCTTCAACCCTTTCGCTAACCTTCTACCCGCTACCACGTGAAAGGGGTATTTGGACCCCGCAAACTCTAGGGGAAGCGCCACGATAGACGATTATAATACAAATTACATGCCAGAATCCTTAGGCAAACATGTAACACAATGACACCTAACATATTGAGAAAGTATATACTATTGCTTCCCGAAGTACCAAGAATGGTAATGAGATCGCCGAGTATCCTCTTCAGTTTTCCTGCTCTCTGTACCTAATCCCTCCGGCATCCCCTATTCATCGTATCTAGCCAGAAGTGCTAACATCAATTCCAAAGTGTGCTCCCGTTTCCTAATTTCCAAGGTATTTAACACACCGTTTGCCGCGATATATCCGCCGGAGGAAATATGAAAGAGGCCATTTCCAGAGGTTCCTTCCGGTTTCTCTCGGTCTGTGTCTCGGTCCCGATTAAAGGCGGGAATGATGTCCGACCTAGATTTACAGGTACTACTTCGAAAATAGAAAGGAGCCCGTAGAAAGGGCAAAAACGACGGCCGAGTTGAAAGTTATAGAGAGCGAAGGGAAAAAGGAACGAGGAGGGGGTGGAGACTCAGGGGTTGGTGCCGAAGGAGACAGGAGAAATTCCGTCGTAAAGCAACGCGCAGCCAGTGATTTGCGAGTAGTCCTTCGGGTATTTCCGTGGCTCCGATAAAATAAATTGTTGTTTCCTCTTGAGAATTCGAGTAGGACGAACCTGGTGCCCGCGAACGCCCCGAACAATATCGTTAGTAGTTTCGAGTCGTGGGGTCTGGCTGCTCGCTTCTCCGTTCCTCCCACCCCCCTTCACTCCTCCCCCAGACGGGTATTTTCTGTTTTCTATACCCCACCTCTTTCCGACGCCCCTCCCCCCGTTCCGCTCTTCAACCGTCCGAGACCGGAATTTATGATACGTCGCGCATTTATATTCCCACACCTTCCATAAATTTCACTTCACCCGCATGTAAGTGGCTCCCACTTTTGTTCATAGATTCCTACGGCTGTCAGATTTATGCCCCCGCGTTACGTGTCCACGATTCGACGACGTGGCCCCAGGACCACGTTTCGGGGACCGCCGTCTCACCGAAAACGGAACGATACTCGCACGTTACCTTCGGGTTATCCGAGGTCTCCAAGTCTCTGGGACCACGACATTTCTGGTATACATACTCGTGGAGCAAACTCAACTTCCGCTGAGGGGAAAAAGTGGCGTAGAAGGAAAGTGTCCTACCACTTGGTAAATTTATTTCAAGTACTGAACTAAATGTTTAACCGAATGTTAATTTGGCATAAATTTCAGAAAATTTCAAAACCAAGTGGTAGGAGGCCTTTCCCCTACTACTCGTGAGAGTCGTGAGTGTACGTTGCATCGATCCGTTTCGTCTCTTCGGAAAAAAAAATCGAGGCTCGAAGCGTGCACAGAAGAAATATTCGAACGGCACGAGGTGAAAGACCCGTTCGAAATAGGATATTCCCGCCTTAACCTTTGAGCTCACGCCCCCCTCTCGCCCCTCCCCTTCCAAGAACCCGTTTGATAAACCCGCAAACTAATCCCAGTTCCCCCGTTGGATTTTCCCGGTTGGAAGAGAAGGTTGATCGATCCCGTGGCAAGCGAGGATCGAACGATCTATCCGGGAATGGGGAAAGAAAAAAAAACGTTCCGTCGGGCGTTACTCGATATTAGATCGACGGGCGGACGAACTATGATCGATTTACGGAAAATCGTAGAGTCCTCCGTCGTCGGGCCGTTTATCCTCGTAAAAAAAAAAGGTGGGAGCCAATTCTGGGGTAACGGACAGCTCACGACGACGGGCGAAAGGGGCGGGGTAAGGGCGAGGGGGACGGGGCGGGAGTATTCTTAAGAGGAAGCTGAACTTCCCAACCCTTTCTCCGGTTTTTTTTCTTCCTTCTTCCTTCCGTCCTCTCCTCGACGTTGCTCCACGTTTCTCAAACCGTTCGGTATTATTAAAGCCGTGCCCTCGATTTCCATGGATCACGGAGACCGTCGCGGATGGGTACCGCGTCGTCGGATAATGGGACGAGGATCGTACGTTCGCCTGCCACGCTCAGCGGTCGCTTGACACGTCCGACGTCGATGGTATTTCACTTGGACGTTCGAGCCACGTTGCAGCTCGTTTCCCTCTTTCTTTTTCTCTCTTACTTTTACCCATTTCGCGTGGTTAATCCTGTACGACAGGGCGAGTGGTTCCCTGCGGTATAGTTCTGCCGGACAGATTCTGGAGCACCCTTCTTCCTGTCCTCAAGGCCTTCCATTTGTACAGAATATTTATGGTACAGTTGTAACGTTCAACTTACCTAGGGCGTATCCGAAGAACCTCCACCTTAACGTGAAGATCAAATTGCAACAATCGGTGAAGCCTATAGAAAGAAACTATATTTGTTTATAGAAGTGAAGATTGCTTTGTAAAAATAATCCTATTGTTTGAGCAGTTATGTGCTAGCTAGAATTGTACGAGATTGAGAATTCGTTATTACATAGATCGATTGCAAAAGAAAATAGTGCAGGGTCGCTAGCAGAGTATAGAAATGGGCGCCCAGAGCGCAATCCACCGCTTCGATTTTCCATAAGGTCCTCCCCGTATCGGTTGAAACGAAGAATTAACTGTTACATTAACTGCTTCCTGGTATTAACCGATCTTCGTTTGACCATATTTATTGTTCCATTGAAGATTTCTGAACCGAACGAACGCACTTCATCCTCCCTCAGTCGTTAAATGCACTATCAGCGATGAACATCGTACTTTTTCCTTTTTATTTTCTGGATTTTATGCGAAGCCACACTATCTGAAAGTACGCGTATCGGACGACGAACTGCTTTTAACGATCGCTGAAAATTCTCGTCGCTGTTTTAATGGCGAGGAACGTACTATTTGTCGTGTAAGGGAATGCAACGTTATTCCGACTGGATTTGAGAAGTTAGTAGAATTTATTTCATAAATATAATAAAACGGTATTTATAAACAGTTGACGTGAATTTAATCTGTCTTTCGATCTCCTTTATTTTTCTATAATTATGAGGTTTGATCTAGTTCACACATTTCATCGAACCGACACTCTGCCTCGTGATCAGGGTACAGTGCTTTCATGATGGACAATGGACACGGTATGTGTAAAGGACACCCAGGTAGAGAGAGTGGTCGTTCTTGATGCATAAAAAGTATGCTAGGGCCTCCAGACGAACAACTAGAAAGAAATGAAATTACAATACAAATGTAGTGCATTTTAAAATATTTTACATTTGAAAAATGACAATTAATAATTACTTGTATAAGACGAACGCTATGTTGGACGCAAAACTATCGATGACCCCAGTTTTCCAAGCTCTATCATCTGCATATAAATGAAAGAGATTGTGAGTCAAATGTTCGTCATCTCTAGCGACTCCTAATGAAGCTAGTAACTTTAAAATTGTGCCGGAATGCGTAAAGTATGCCGATACCAATGGCCCATCATCAGATCTGTAAGGAAAAAGTTCAGGAATTTATGCTGTATAACATTTTATGAATCCATGGATACGTGAACTTACGCGAAAAAATCAAACATATCCCTCAATGTAGGACATGCTTGCTCGTAAGTCAGTTTGTAACCATACCCATCAATCCAATATTTCTTTAAGTCTTCAGCATACTCAAGTACCTGAAACATTAAATGATTGATTGTTAAAATTATGATAGCTTAGGTATAACATGCTATAGGCTTACCTTAAAATCGTTTAAACTGAACATTCTACACCAAGGAGACTCTGTATCTATTTTCCATGCAGTCTCAAAGCCACACATCATGTACATCAAATTTGCAGTTTCTGAAACGCATTTATTTTATAAATAATACAAATTCTCCCTGTTCTCTGTTCTATACTCGATTATACTGTGCTAACCATGATCAATCTGATGACCAATGCGTTTAGAAACATTTTCTAACATCCTGGTATACGTTTCATCCTTCAGAAACTTTTCTGTTTCCATCTGTGCATATGGATTGTTGGCCACCTCGCATAACCAACGCAAACAGCGTTTGTAAAACTAAAAACTTGAAATAAAATGATTAAATAACGAAAAGTCAACTGATGATTCAATTAGATGGTAGTAAATTACTCTTAATACAGGATCCTTGTGTTCTGCTTCTGGATACAACACTTTTTTACTATTGTATCTACCGAACAGACCAGTGGCAAAGTTTCTTGCACTTTCCTCTGTGCGTTGAGTGGCAGTGTATTTGAACTATAATAAAAATACAGAATTATTTAATGGGTATAGTACAGTGCATTTAAAGGGAAAAATTTATTTACCCTATAAGTCTCATTATTATAAACCTCTGGCATGAGAGAAGGGAACCTCGATTGATATCTTTCTCCAAGATCAATCATCTCATTTCCACCTTCTCCTGCTAGTCGCATAATATCATCCTTGGTGAAGGAGACATACCAATCTCTCAATAGAACTACATCTTCATCTGTCAAACTTGTCTTTTTATTTTCATAATTGTCTATAATAATCTGTTGTAGTTTTGACAATTTTTCAATCATAATTGATATATACTTTTTACTAGGGTATCTTGTACCGTGTCTCAAGATTAACCATATCTTTTTTGGAGTACATCCTGAAAACAATTGTGTATTCATTTTCTGTAAATGGTAATTGAATACGTGTTATTGTACCTGGGTATTCAAGAGGATTATCATCATAATTAGCTATAAATCTGTACGGTGTCTTTGTTCCTAACTTGCATCTATAATCTTTATTGTGCAGAAAGCAATTGTGTGCAAATGAAACTAGTACACTCGCAATGAGTATTAAAAATACTTGGATAAGTAAAATTTGCTGCATCTTGTGATAATTATCTAAAACATACCAAAAGTTTTTAGCAGGTCAGAATACTACAAATAATCAGCAAATTATAAAACAATTCACCTTGCTGCAATACTTTTACTTTCAATAGGAATTTAGGTACACATATTTAAAACTATTTAACCTTTTCTCTATTTAGTATGGTCATAACGAAAACATTCTTTTGTAACAACCACTAACTTTCAATGTTAAAGATTTATATTCTATGAAAAAATAATTCTTTGAGTATATAAGTAATTTAATGAAAGTATGTACATTACAATCGTTTGAAAAACGTAAAAAAAGTAATAATGTACCAATCAGTACCAATAAAAATCGTCAGAGATAAAATGATCCAATGATGAGCTGCAACTCCATCTTCAAAAAGTTCAGCACGTTTCGGTTCAGTGTCATCAATGTTCGAATATCTCGGAATTATTTAATTCGTGATTCTTCTCAATGCTTATTTCATTATTCAAATAATATGACTTAACTTTTAGTTGTAAAAATCAACGTAAAAACGAAAGCGCAATTACAAACTACTACATTTTCGTTGTCACCACTGGATTGGACAATTTATACCTTAACCTTACGCTTTTGAAATTACGGAATTCCATTTGTTTTCAAATTAATACATATTAATTAACTTCTTATACTGTTTACTTACAACGACATTCCTCTGCACTTTTACGTTTAATAAAACAAAAAACTCTTTCGTTTGACGTATCGATGATATAGATTTGTTTGAACAAGGTATGTTTAAAGTTGACTATCGTTAACAAATAGTAATCGCAGTAACAATGAATTGTTTGTTGTCTTAGATGGGAAAGAAAAGGAATGTTCAAACAACACCTACACCTATTCCTGGACGTGTGAAAGTAGAAATTAAAGATGAATTGGGTAATGAGAAAGTAATAATAATTAATAGTATTCTTGTATAATTATTTAATAGTAATTGTATATTGTAGCACAGTAATAGTATACATAGATATGCAAATCCTCTTGACTGCATAAATTCCTCAAACAAAAAATGACTTTTCTTACAGGAGATAATGATGTGCTTGTTGCAAGAGATCGTTTAAAAGGAGCCCTCAGAGAATTATTGCAGCACAGTGATACAGGTTCATCAGCAGATTCAAGTGAAGAAAGTTCTGCACATGATTATAAACATCAAATGAAGAAAATGTAATGATACCAAACATTTACAATTACTTTTTATGTTACTCTGAATAATAGGTATCTAACTTCTAGTGATAACATGTATAGGACAAAGACACTGGGTTTCCAACAACCACGAAAAATTAGACGCAGGAGACAAGTACAATTGGACACAGCATTTCATCATACTTATGTAATGAAATTGTTCGACCGGAGCGTCGATTTAGCACAGTTTCAAGAAGATACACCACTTTATCCTATATGCAGAGCTTGGATGGCTAATCAGCCTAGAAATCCCAATCTTGTTCCAAAGTGAGTACATAATAAGAAATAGTTATTAAAGTTGGAAATACCTGAATATTCTTGATTTATTTTTATGTATGCTTATGTGTAGCAAGTATTTAAAAATGATAACACATACAAATATCAAAAAATAATTCTACATTTTGCGTTTAGAATACGTAGCCCGAGTCCAGAAATAATAAACGAAGTGAATATAAGTAATAATATACTGGACACAAATGGAGAAGTTCAAGATGTCTATTATTTGCCACCTCCTTTGCCTTGTGAAGAAGCAATACCTAGGAATCGTATACCTTCACCAATATCTAGGGAGAAGGAAGAATTAAACTTAGATTATGTAAGATATTTAGATGAATATGCATACTTTATCCTCTTAATATGAGGGTACAATAAATATACAGTCATAATAAATATATATTTGATTCATAATGTATTTAGGACGGACTGTGCCTAAAATCACGAGAAACATTGCTGAGAGAACATAGAATACATTGGAATGCAGTACGTAAAAAGTGGTATCAACAGGCTCATAAAAATGAACAACGTTTTGTACAGAGTGCAAATATACTGAACACTATTTTCAAGAGGTGTGATATCGATGATTCATAGGAATATATCGAATTTTTTATTGGGATGCTGTAAAAATATTCGTCGGATTTGATTTTCGTGGCGTAAAACACATTTTATTATTAAAAAACATTATTTCTGTTTCAGGGCACAATCGGAATTCGAATAGACCCATCCATGGCAGCATTGATACTGTCAGTTTCCGTTCACAGAATCTTTGCTTGATCGGCATGGAACGTATTTGTCGTTTTTCTACACACAATTTATTTTATATCCTTAATTATACCTGCTGTATACTACTTGTAGAAATATATCTTTTTATTTGATATACCGCAATGATATTTCGAGTTGTTTGTATAGTAAAGAAATCACATGACAAGCAAGAATTATTTCCAATAAAACTTCTTATAGAACGTTGATATGATTCGAGTTGAAAGATCTAACATACAGCTCCATTAGTAGATGACAGGACAATCAAGTTGCCGCGGAGAGTGTCAAAGAAGATAGAAAATCTAGTATTTCCGGTAAATGTAACAAACTGCTAGTCAAAATTATTTGACGTTTATTAAATCAACATTCCGAGCGGGAAGACGAATGACAACGCACTCCACTAACAGATCTTTCTGAACCTAAAATTAGTTCATTTATAGTTTTTTTTAAAGATTGTTTACTTTACCAGAATCCTGTTGACTCGGCTCCTGACGATTTCATTAAAGATTTTTATTGTTTTATTAATTATTTAGAGAAGTCCATGTCCAATGATGCCCTAACTCAGTCGAGAATCAAACATAATGATTCACTGTCGTACACGAAGGACGTGTGAATTTAGTCTTCCTTGTATACTAGGAACTTGAATATGTTGATAATATCAACCATTTTGTTTCGTCAAAATTAAAAAAACAGCATAAGTAATAAAACTCAAGTTTCAATTTTTATAAATTATATTTTACTTAGGGTAGCCCTGATCAGGCCCTGATTATGTAGACAAAGTCTATTTAGCCCTGTATATATTTGCAGAACAAAATATTCTTCCTGAAACACTCTTACCAATCATAGAATTTATAGACCATTACGATTTTTTTCAAAGTCTTGCAACGCAACAACTTTTAGTACAATTATGTATGTTTGATTCTCGAAATAAATTGCGATACACTAACAACAGCTCAATTAATAATAGTACCTAATTCCGTACAAGTTCGTAATAAATATCCCAACAAAATTATTCATCTACAATGAATATTCTATAAAGAATAAATAATAAACTTTCATTATATTATTACTATTTTTAATAAATTGAAACGCTACTTACAATTATTTTTTATCACGGGTATAAAAAGGAACTTGGAATAGTTTTTAATTGCCTGAACACTAAGAGAGGCAGTTTTAGCATACTTTTGCATAGAATTAAAATACATGTAAATTCGATGAACACTACTAGACTTTGATACTAGAAATTTCGAAAAATGAGAATCTAATGCTAGGAGAAAGGATAAAACGAATAACTGTTGAAGACTTGAGAATTACAAGCTTTTATTTTACGTATTGACAGTCGTAGCTTACAGCACGTACTTTCAACTAAGTGAGTTTTATTTGATTGAATAACGATAGAATTTCAGACTCGAAGAAAAATGTTCCGACATATTCCACCAGACCGATTGTAATTTTCAAGACTTCTTATTGTTACATACCATGATCCTCGTATACTACTAAACCGTTCCTTTCATATAAAATGTAGCTAAGAAATAAATAACATAAGTTAAATCCTTTACTTTCATAGTTAATATTATATATGTTATTCACCATTCGACCTTATGCTGTAACTATTTGCCATAATAACAAATATCTGTTGCAAGCAACAGTTTTATTTCTCAATATACAATGGCTAGTAGCGATTCTTATTAGAGAACATGACTTAGGTTTCTCTCGGCTAAATAATATAGTCAATGGAAGCTATGTTTTAACCAATTCTTCTGCCCCAACGCCCGAAACACGAGTACTTTAGCTATTATTAGTTGATCTTACGACTATACAATACCTTTTCCACTAACTATTCAAGAACGGCTGATCGTGCCTTTGATTACTTTATAGCCGATGGAACTTAATACTGCTCTCTGTAACAAGAATCGCTGCCAAATGATGCACTTCATGAGTCATAGGAAATACTTCTTATTCCACAGTCTCGACACTTCGCGGCCGGAAGATTTCTCGTGGTCGTGGAAGTACAACTTGATCGAATTTCATTTGAAGACTATTACACATTGTACAGTTCACTTGTCTGTAAGGGACAGCTCCAACACTTGCCGAAATGTTTCTTCTTCCAGCAACCGGCGTTGCTCTTCCTCGAGTTGCTGCTGTTCCGACAATCTTAATGCCAGTCTCAATTGTTCTGCAGTGCCCTCGAGCGCGTCAGGATCCTCCCCGTCGCTAGTTCTGCTGGTATCACTTCGACCGCTCGCACACGCAGCAGTACTCTCCTGGTACAGCGCCAGACTGGCCTGAATGGCTCTGCGTTAAACAATAAACAGAATGTTTATCGTTGTTCGGTAGAAATGATTTCTTACAAAAATCTAGACTGGCTTAAGTGCACGGAAACTGATGATTTCTAAACAAATCGGGAGACTATTTCTCTTCTAACGCGCGCGCCAATCGTCTTCTTGCAATATCATGGAAGAATATGCTTTCGCAGATGGTTATCTAAATGAGGACTAAGAAAATACGTCTTTGCCAAGTCTCGTCGAACATGATCGTGACGTGAAACCGAGATTTGTAACAGGTATCCTTCACCCACCTTCTTGAATATGAATTGTCGGGCAAGAAAAGAACACATGCAAAATAAATTGTTTAGAATTTTTTAAATGAAACCAAAGTATCCGAATCGACATGCTTACGAGTAGGAGATACTTGTACCTTTGAAGCTGCCGCTCCTCTTCTGTAGTCATATTGGGTGTTGTTGGTCGAGATGGTTTCTGTGCTTTCAATGCTTCCCATATATCGACCTTAAATTAAATTGATTAAATGTTTAGATTACATATGAACGAAATTATGATTAGAAAAGGGTCAAAATCTACATACCTCATCACGTTCACTTCCAGCTTCCAATAAACTTTGTTGGATAGCAAACTGTAATAGATCGTCTTCTTCTTCAGTACTGAATTGAGTACGAACTTCAGCACCTATACAAAAATTGTATGTTTTAATATTCCTAAGTATTTCAATGAACCAACAGTTACTTAAGCTATGATTACCTAGTTTTGCATAGCCCGTTGGTACTTCAAAACAAGTATCATCGACTAAACAAGTCATCCTGTTAGTTTCTTGCAAATAATCTACATGAGGTACTTCCTGATCCATGCCAAAAATGTTTCCAAACGTAATTCTCGCATTTAATATATGAAACAGAGGTATTTCTATAACGGAGAAGATTAATTAAACTAGATACCTTTTTCCATACGAAAGAAATGTAATTCAGAGCTAACCAATTTTAACAGGAAATCCAGCCGGCAACTGCATTTGAATAAAATCTTTTAATTTCGCAAAATGTGAACTAGATATTGCCATCAGGTCGACGATCGGCATTATTTGTTCTTGAAGGCTCAATGGATATTCTTCGCTAAGCCACAGAGTTGCCTGTAAATTTGTTTAACCAATTATAAATGTTAATTCATAAATTGCGTTTTCGTACCGTATAATCTTTAACATACCTTGAATTTTTGAATTTTTGTATTAACTTCCTTTGGTCTACCTATATCCCTTCCATTTAGATCAACATCTGGATCAAAATACTCTTCGGCCGTGATGTTAGAAGGATTTCCAACATTGTTATATTCTTCCTGAAGCAAATAATTCGATGAGCTAACAGTTTGCAAAATTTAAATACATTTCGTTGTATTAAATATTTAAAGAAGAAAATTACACTAGTAGTTGCATTAATACAATTCTCTGGTTGTTGTTCCGCTATGCCAAGAAACGAGTGAAGCGGCGTACGAGGAGCTCGAGCCCTTACTTTATCTGGCTCTGATAAATGTTCTAATCGAGTTTTCGTTATTAATTCTACATTACTCGCACTGAACACCTTACAATCGTGCCCATTTACTGTTTCGCTTTTGTCTGACCGCCAGCCCCACAAACCAGCCTTATTGCTAATCAAACATAAATAACATTAAGAGAAGGATATTTGCGTACCGATGAAGACCGGAAACGTAATTACCGTTCGAAACTAATTTTATCCGTGTCTATGTACGTAGTAACTATAGGATTCGTAAGGCGAGCTAATACACCTTCCTCGGAGGGTTCCATTAATTGTATATTCTGCACATCTATCAATTTCATATGCTCGACATATACTTTTCTTGTTTCATGATCGACTTCCATCATTGTTGCTCCATCATCTGCAGAAATAAAAGTTCTATTCTTACAATGATAGAATCATACATCACAAAATTATTACTGAAACAATTATTCTACAATGTAAAACAGCTTTACTACTACTAGTCATAGACATCTAATAATTTGTTCTCAATTAACTCGCGCAAAAGTACATACGAACAAGTATTCAAAACAGGTATTCGTATACTTGTGTAGCATTTAAAATACGATCATACTGTTTATTGTTTATAGTATACGCACTTACCAAATATGGCCGTAATTTACTGTATCGACATTTTAAATGTAATAAAAAAGAAAGTGGAAATAATAACGAACAGAAACAAAAAAGAATATGTACATATTGTGTCTATTGTAAAAGCTTTTTCTACTTAATGAATACTTTCTATGATCCTGTATGCCACATTAATTGTAAAAGTATTTCTGTCACCTGACTCTTGTCCCATCATACTGAACACATAACTCCGTTCACATCTAATTGCCACAGGTACATTTGATGCAGCTTGCATTTAATATATACAATTAAAGGACAAATAAAAGATTCTACTATTAATATAAAATGAAAAACTCTCAAAGAACCTGAAGATTAAAAGAAACTTTACGAGTGTCGGTATCCATGCAACGGCAACGACCATAAATACTCACTTTGTCCTTTGAAGACGTAACTACGATTTCCGCGTTGCCAGTTCGCGTGATCGAATCCCAGTAACGTTGTATCAATTCTCACGTTACTGCCTTGTTTGTATACTTTGTACGTATCGCTAGGACACATTCTCGATGCAAGGGGAACTGATAACAAGAAGTTACATAAGTACAACGCTCGTATTTAAATACGACAATAATTACACATAAACTGTCTGAATTACCCCAACTAGTAAATTCCCATTTCATTTCTACATAAAAATCTGGAGCCTGAAAATATTATTTGATTTTGGTTTACATTTTTCAAACTATTGCTATGCTTTCTGCTTTGTTCTAAGACACCCACTTGTTTAAGTTTATGAAGTAATTCTGGAATACCGGCTACCCGATTGCAATATCTTTGATAATCCCTATGTGCTAGCACCATCTGCAATAGTTCAGGATTTCCTGTTCCAACTGCTTCTTGGACCACTCCAGAAGAAAAATAAAAAATTATAATTGCTGTGTAAAGGTAACATAGAGGATTAATAAGTGATTTCTTTACCAGTCCACCCTTGAGTATTTTCTGTGTTGACATTAGCGTCATGTTGTAATAACATCCCAACACATTCACTATGGCCCAAAGTAACAGCTAACATTAATGGTGTTCTGCCTCTGTTGTCAGGCATTTCTACATCATGCTGTAACATAACATTAAATTAACAAAGTTAATTACAAATATCTAATATAGAATTCTTAATTTCTTTATTAAGTGCTGTTATGAATAATGTTTGAACTATATATTTCTTTTATACTTCTATGTGTTCAGACATTATTGCAGAGAGGAATAATACTGTAATCCTTTTATCCACTTTATCAGTTGAGATAAAATTTGCCAACAGATTGAAATGTTTCTATAAAGGAAAGGTTCCATTAAGCTATTTTAGTTTTTGTAATACTCCAGTGATTAAAAATGAAACAGATTTAAAATTTCTGATACAATTACTCAAAAAGCTGTATCAAATCGATCAGTGTTATTATTCAAAGCATAATATCAAAAGTTACATGTCATTGAACATTTATGGTTTCCCACACACATGAGGTTTCACTCATAAAGCTCTGACATTATTCGGAGTGATATATTTGAATCACTATATAGTGTACAATTCATTTATACAAATGAAAATTAATCTTTTCCCTTCTCCTGAATTTCTGTACATATACATATACATATATATATATATATATATACATATATGTATATATGCATATATATATATAGGGAACAGTAACCCTCATTTACATACAATAGTTCATAACAAAGTTTTGAACAATACATATGTAAAGTATTTAATCGAGTACCAATAAAGATTTCTTTCTTCTGTTTTATCATTACTATTACCCAATTATCTCGCTGTATCCAGAAGGATACAACAGAAATGTCATTTATCACATTCGTTTTGTAGAGAAAAGCTGGCAATCGATGATCGTTCGGTTTTCCAGCTTTATTCGTTACGTCTGCTCGACAACGAGTAGATATCGCGTTAGTATCGACAACGATTAATTGGTTAATTGATAATCAGTTGACATTCTATCTACGAACCAGCTTCGAAAATAACTCCTCTTCCAGTTCTACATAGTTGTTATTCCATATGAGCCAGTGCAGCGGATAATTCTTTTGTATCGTGTCTATATTCACCATTTCTATGAGGTCCTATTTAACGCTGACATAAAACACTGACAATTACCTACATGAAATTCCACGGTTCAAACACGCGACACAAAATTTTGTCAGACGAATACATGACACCGAGGTGGATGGATATGTACGATATGTACCGAATAAACGATCATTGCTCATCGACCGAGTAAGATAACTAGATAAGAAACTCTGAAGTGTCAGCTGAATGTATTCAGTCACGAAAGAAAATGTTGCAAGCACGTTTATATATTCGCTACCTGGTGAACCATAGCCATATATAATTAACTACGCGGTCTTATGGTAGGGATGAAGCGAGACCGAAGGATAAAAGTAGCGCAAGAGTAACTTCTCTCTTGTTCGCACATCGCAGAGGGAGGTACATCTCACCACACGGGGTTCTTGGCAGCTACACCGGGGGTTCTATGACCCCACGCTGTCACCACACGGAGTCTCCGGCGCCTCCACCGGGGGTTCTGTGACCCCACGCTCTCACCACGCGGGGTCTCCGGCGCCACCTGCAGGGGTTCTGTGACCCCACGCTCCCACCGACGGGGGCTCTGGCGCCTCCACCGTGGGGTTCTATGACCCCACGCTCTTACCACACGGGGCCTCTGGCGCCTCCACGGGGGTTCCATGACCCCACGATCTCACCACACTGGGTCTCTGGCGCCTCCACCGGGGGTTCCATGACCCCACGATCTCACCACACTGGGTCTCTGGCGCCTCCACCGGGGGTTTTATGACCCCACCGTTCTCATCACACGGGGTCTCTGGCGCCTCCACCGGGGGTGTTTTTTATTGAAAAATCTGAAGAAAATATACAATTTACAGTAGTATTTCTATTAATGCTATAGACAGCGACTTTCGAAACTAAACGGGTAAGTAAATTAATAATTAATAAGGTATGACTTTTTTTATATAAAAACTATTGTATTTTCATTTTCAGTACAATATTCAACTGCACTGATTCACTCGACGTTCATACAACTGCATTACAATGTGACTTCCACGCAAATCGTTAATACATTGTTCAATAATTTTGAATCGAAATAAATACTCATTGCTTCTTCAGGCCGCGGGAGTATATTCCTGGCTTGTATGTCGGTAAAAATGGTACGTAACTAGTCCACTTCCATCTGTAAATAGTTAAATTAATCAAGTGTGATCCACGAAATTCATACCAAAGGAAAATATAAATAAAACGTATAGGCCGACTTAAGAAGCATCATTACAAAATTACATACCACAAATACAGTTAGAATGAATTATGCAAAACATAGCTGTAACTATCGTGACGCCATTTTGGTATCACGCTTCACAGGAAGTACAGAATTTACCATTTCGTTTACCTTCTCAAAAGTGTCATTCCGCATGGAAAATCGAATGTATTAGGTACATATTCTCCTTGGTCCTGTTTGTCATCACTTTCGACATTTAATTCCATTTCTTTCGACCAAGCTATGAGTCCACGTTCCTCGGGGGTACCTTGGTTCAACGAAAAGAATGATAAATAACTTTTTCACGAACATATAAAGTGATCAACAATATTGCAATATTGTACCAGGTATAATATTGTCCAGCAAACATCCTACTATGCCACCGACCAGGATAGTCGTGCTAAGCAGAACCGTGATCACACCATCGGCTATCTCGTTTCCGGTCTGTATCACGTCCGAATGATTAATCATCCACTTCGACAAAACCTGAACGACATTCACAGACATATATTTACCAAATTATTTATCTTTATTTTATACAGAAGAAATTGCATTAGACTTCCGGAGAAAAAAACACAAACTTACCAAAGGGAAAAAAATCGAGAACCCGAGGATGTAAAGGTTCCTTGCAGAGTTTAGATCAACGTATTGCAACGCGGAAAGACCTGCAAGACACGAATATATACAAAGTCCTGTGCTCGTTCTGTTTTCAAACGATGGAAGTATATTAGCAACGTTTAACACACACCGAAAGCGCAAATCATCCCGAACATCACGCAGAATATTCCGCCGACTATAGGTTCCGGGATGATAATAAAAACGGCACCGAATTTGCTGATCAACCCCTGCAGTATCATTAATCCGCAAGCCCATTGGATGACTCTGCGGCTGCCGACTTTTGTCACGCCTGTACAGATTTAGACGAATTTTGTACAATCGAATGAATCGAAAAATTATAGAATCTTTCCATTTTTTGAGAAGTGTAACACGCAAATGCTTGCCTATGGTTCCAACGTTTTCTCCGAATGTGTTGGTGCCGTTCCCGCTGCCCCAGAGACCAGCCAACATGGTGCCGAGGCCCTCTATACCGATACCTCGGTTAATCGCGTGAACCGGCGGCGGAGGAGCACCTGAGAATTATAATTTCAATCTTCTTTATTTGACAGAACTATTCCTATATCTAATAGACAGCTTAGTTCATTCTTCTAATTTCGTTTAAAGGTCAACCGTTTGCAATCGAACGATTTCATAATGGCGCCAGTCGAGAGTCACGGAGAACTAGGAAGTTCCCGTTACGCCGCCATTTTGTTTCCATCAGAAAATTACCTTTAATCAGCTGTTATATCCACCAAGAAAGTTTTATCAAGTATAAAGAATTCATGGATACAGTTTTCGGAAGCATCTAATAGAGACTCCTCTGGATTATCGACTCGCTTGTTCTACACGATTATTGTCCAGGAGTTATACCCACCATTGGAGTGGGGGAGGTCGTGGAATCTGTCAAGTACATACTTTGTTGCTCCTCCACTTTTGTTTCCGAGGCTTCGGACAAAAAACAAATTTACGAGGGTCTGAAGTATTTCTCCCTACAAGATTATTGTCCTGGCGTGGACCCGAGTTTGGGACGATAATCGAGAAGAGTCCGTACATTTCTATCGGATAAACTCGGAAGGTCTGAACTGTACGTCTAGAGTCATCGATTTGCTATCACGTACCGCACATCCTGGACGTTGTGGGATAATAACTGATTGATTCCACTGTACACGCCAACACTCCGGCAAGCATACCGAGCACACCCGACAGAGTCACGGTTGGCGCGCCCCATTGGCCAGGATAAGGTATTCTGAACCACGGGGACTGATTGATGATTTTCAATTTGCTGTCGGATCTCGCTGGATGCCCAACTGGTAGAACATCTGTGACGGTTAGAATAGTGCAGATTATCCACATGGCTACTATAGTCAGCAACACCTGAAGCAGACGAATGAGTCCGTGGATAAAAGAATACCCAACACGGTATAATTTATTAATCGAGTTCCCGTTTACATATAGAATTTCACTAGGTGAAAATCTGCTGTATCACTTACGCACAACGTTCTTTTATAAATAGAATGAAATAATCGATATGTAAGATACGATAAATTATCATATAAAATATCAACATGATAACAGTTGGTCTCGGGAATTATTGAAATTTACGTCAAATTCAATTTAACATTTATTTCGGTATTTGTATTAAATTTACCAAGCGGTAGGAACAAAGTCATGTACGAAATTCGAAAGTTTACAGCGTACCGATTCGTCGGCTTGGAAGTGTGAAAAAATTTCGAAGTTTTAGCCAACGCAAAGCAGAATTACACCTATATTTCTAGCCAATTGAATTAGCGACATCCTTACCGGAAACAATTTAAACAGTTCGAACCACACAACTTGTATCCCCTCGCCTTTGCGGTACGTCAAAATGGGAAACGGCACGTTGACCAATATTTGAGAGTAGAGCGTCAACATTAGTATCGTTCTACAAAAAAGATCAATAAACACGTGATTCTACGACTCTCGTTGGTTTATTGTTCGTTAGATTTTCGTTCCGAAGAAATGTACCCAGCCGCGATGCCCCAATGTTGCGATGCCGCGTCCGCTGCGTTCTCGAACAGAGACAATCCGACCAGTGAGACAGTCGGCACGATCGTCAGTGGCGTTATAAATTTCAACAAGTAACCGATAATACCTACAACAACGTATAATGTATTATTTAAAAGAAAAAAGTATGCGCATTTTTAAACATATCTTCGTATGCTTCTGATTAGACACATTAAATAATGCAGATGCACCAGTAAATAAATGAATATTATATATGAAAAGTAGTAAATTATGTTATTAAAATAAGTAATGTTCTTTACTTTTTTACAATTTTTCAAATTCTAATCTGTACTTTATAAAATGGTGTAGATATTGGAAAATCTAGTTTTCAGGTGTCAAATATTTATTAATACTATGATCGTTTAAAACTTGGCTTTAATAGTTAGAAAATCTCTTAAGTATTCATTTATTGGTGCATTTATCCTACATATATGTATACCTACCTCCGAATCCAACGACCACTTGGAACAACGAGGACACAGCAATGGCGCCCGAGAGCTCTCTCATTCGGACTTGCCACAATTCGGTACGATTTTCCGGTGACATTTCGTTCATCACTTCTGGCGCCGGACATTTCCATTGCGGAAGATTTAATATCGCCAGGGTTGGGACCAGAAATGATATCGTTCCACCTTGCACCAAAGGTAGCCTGAAAGACCAGAGACAATTCAATATGGCGGACCGAAAGCGGAACACGAAGAATTTATTATTAGTATTAAAGTTATCTACTTGGAATATAAAAATGAATAATAATCATAATAATATTTATTTATGAACGGGTTATGAACCTTTTGGTACAATATACAAGTATATGGAATTCTAAAGGACAAACGAAAAGTTTAGAACAGCAAAAAAAGAAGAAGAAAATTAACAAAAATATTTGCGTAATCCTTCCGTTGCAATTGTTGCCGACTGATTACTGTCGGTTCAGTTACGAGTTCCGGAAGTCTACAACAATTTCCACGTGACTCAATTATTGGAATTGTGAAATTCCGCCCGTTTCGCGTTGTAAAATCTCAAATAAAAGAAAAAAGACGGATGCTAATTCTCTTTCCAAGAACCTATCAAGTATCGCTAACGATCCGTAAATCTTGCTAAACGAAAGTACAAAACGATCTTTACGCGGCAATAAAGACGCGAAAATTAACGTCCTGTGGATTACGTTGTTGACGCGGTAGCAAAACATGCAGGGAGAGACCTGGTTGCATCTCCTTGAATTTCAAATTCATGTAAATTCCCTAATTATTCTCAGTTTTAATTGGCTTCTTGTTCGAAGAACCTATAAACTTATTATTCAGTGGATATTTACCGTTACTTTAACATCACGTAATGCAGCGACGTAATTGTCGTTAACAATGACAAACCGTTAAAGAAGTTGCATAAATCTTCGATTAAATTTTGTTGAAAAACAAATGAAGTTAGAACAGTTAAGAACTCGAGCGACGATATGTGACGCGCAATGCTAAAGCTGGCGCACAATTAGATCGCCGACAATGAAGCGTCACTTGTCGGTTTAATGGGCTCGAACGAGCCGCTACGATACTTTCTTGAAAGGTTCGAATTGAACGAAAATACAGTGACTCACTTTGCGCGCGAAAGACGTTCTTTGACCGAATCACTTACCAACCTGCAAATTCTATTTCAAAATTCACGAAAATTTACCAGAAAAGAAAGATAAAAGTGAAGACTGCGAAAGTACATAAATGGGATTACAGTTCAATCGTTGGAATACTTTTGAAACAATAATTAATTGAACAATCTTTGAAATTAATTGTTGTTTTAAAAGCATGAGAACTGTAATCCCATTTATATATTTTCCAAGTCTTTTTATCATCCTTTTCTGAGAAATTCTCGTGAATTTTGAAATAAAATTTGCAGTTTGGTAAGTGATTCGGTCAATCAAACGCGAACAAAGTGAGTCACTGTATACAATGCATAAGTTGTTAACGAACTGTTAACCATTCCATGAATCAGGGGATGCGTACAGAGTAAAAGGCGATTGCATCGGGACACGTGCCTAAATAAATGTCGTATTGATAACCATAAGTCAAACACCGTTTGAGAATTACCTGCACCCGAATGTGGTCTGCAAGAGTGTCACCAGTCCTGTAACGAAGATCATGGTAGAGATTATGTAACTCCTCGATGGATCGTCCTCCGCCATGCATAGAGCTGGCGTTAGAATAAAAGGGATCGAGACGATCGCCCCTATCATGGTCAGATAGTGCTGAAAAAGCATATTGGTTGTTGATGGTTCTAATTTAATTAAAGCTGGCGCCACGAAAGGTGCACGGAAGAACTACAATTGGAATCGACCACCAAGTACGTAAGAAAATTATAGTAATCTCAATCGTTTTACGATTGAATAAACTTACACTCGAATATCTTATCAAGATAAACGACACAGGTTGGGGGTCCATTTATACCATTTTCGAAAATATATCAATCAATTATACCGGCTTTGAATTCCACTTTCAGATTTAACAGCGTGCTGATCATCGTTACAGATGAATATTTTAGAATTACAAAATCTCAATGGCACTTGAATTATTTAATTTATATTGAATTTTGAGAGTCAAGATTAAATACGTTCTTTCGTGGATTAGTTATTTACAGTAAAGTTACCGGTTACTTGGGTTGTTTATTAATTAACTAATTCTGGTTAATTGTTTCATAACAATTACAATCGATTCCGATCTGTCTTCCAAACGGTACCTGAAGAGCCATGAACAGGCAGAGGTACCATGGCGGAACGTCGTCGATCCCGTACGTTAGATTGGTCTCCCTTTTACCATCGTCGATTTTCTTCTCCTGCGACGAAAAGCTTGAGTTTTCTATCCTCTAAAACAACAACAGGGTGCACACGGTTCTGTAATTTTCTTAGAGCAGCTAAATACCGGAACACCATCCCCGCCCGTAAAATTATTTGTTATTGTAATTAGACGCTCGGTTACGTAATTATTACGTGTAGGAGAACCAAGCCGCGGCGAATAAATTGTATCACTCGTTACCACGCGTTCCACGGTGCATTAATCAGCATGAAAAAGGACATAATCAGGTAAAATCGTATTGGACAATCTGGATAGTGTAATTTATGCAAATTACTTCGATCTGAATCCAAACCTTCCAGGAATTATCCGCGGATTTTTACGGTTCGCGATCGCTGAGTAATGTCGACCCATTGAATTAGCATGAAATTATGGAAATAGTTAATAATCCAACGAATTCTACTATTTCCATGATAGTAATCACCGAAACTTTTATAAGGAAATTCATTGATGGTTCGAGGAAAATGGAGATGAACTTTCGCTTCTTCTTTCGTTGATTTGAAATCGAAGATTCGATGTTTGGATTAATGTGTATGAAATAAAGATCTAATATAATAGAGGGGCGTTTCCTTCATTGTGGCAAAACACTGGAGCGTATCGGGCAAGCGTAATTGTCGAGACACGTGTTGGGACTTTTTTTATTTCTTGTCGATGAAGTTGAACGTGTACACACGTATCACTTAATCTCGAATACTTAACCGGGATACCAAGATTTATTGAGTACACTGTGCAGCTAATATTCGCTCTCTTACGAATCTAATCACGATTTAAATATACAGGGTGGACCCACGAAACGTGGATTAGCTTGGATTATTCTACTGCTGCTTGAGAAAGAGTATTTTCTGTTCGCAATTCTTCGAATGCACGAATAATATATTTCTGTTTTTAACTGTTACGATCGCAGTACCTACGTAGCTGTGTCGATAGAACGACAGAAACTAAATGTTTGTTAGCAAAACTGACGCGATCGTGTGCCATGACATTGACAATGTTTATAAATACAAAAGCAACGAGGACCGGTCTATTGTGAGGTGGTCTGGTGCACGAGTATTTATTCGATGCACTTTCAACATCGAATATTCTTAACAGTTCGAGAGAATCGATAACGGATAATCATGTTTACAGGGTTTAACGGACGACGATTGTTAAGAGAAAATCTCTGAAAAAATTCCAACGACTTTACAACAGTTCTCGCAAGTGATTCAGGTTCGTCGTCCAAGAGTTAATTATTCATAAACAAAAGCGATATAAGGAAGTATTAAAAATGACTCGGTAACAATTTCAGATCACAGATAACAGATAATCATGTAAATAGAGTCTAACAGTCGAACCTACGACAAAGAAAATCGGTGAAAAATTTCCACTGTACGCCGATTCTATTACACTGTTCAACACAAAAAGTCTATCTTTTTTTAAATTGCACTTTCTCAAGTTTACAGATGTAATGTGCTTTTACACTAGTAATTATTCAGTTGCCTTTCACACGGAATAATTTTCTGGACTCTCCCGAACACAATCATGTACATTGTTATTATAAGATAGACATCTAAATATATTTAAATAACGGCCAGAGTGAAACGCACCGATTTTTCCTGATATTCTTCAATTTCTTTCAATAACTACGGGTCTAGGAGAAAATCTAATAATAACAATTTACATAATTTTCTTCAGGAGAGTCCGGGGAACGATTTCGTGACAAAAGTAATTGAATAACTATTACCCCAAAAGCACAACACCCGTCCAGAGTTGAAAATTTGCAATTTTCTTCAAATTGGTTTTTGTCAGAAACTGGACGTGCTGGGGACAAAATCGGTTGGCAGATTCGTATTCGGCTCGTAAACATTTATCAGAAACGTCTATTAACGGTCAGAGGGTAAGAAACAATTTTGTTAAACAACATTATTCTCGATTACTCACCAGTTCGGTCATCTGTACTCCGTTTTCAGGCATTTCGAGGCTTCGTGATCGTTCCAATAAGATTATATCTGGCAACGGAACTGTCGAACGTGTCGCGAATCGTCATGAAATTTCACCGACGATTTTCCACGGATCGGGGGAAAAATTATCGCGGAAGTCGTCTTTGCGCGCGCGAGACTCCGAAACGAGAGGAACATCTGCGTTATGCCGACGTTAGGAACGAACTGTGTCAATAGACGCGATCGCTCCTTAATTTATCACTAAATCCCCGTTTAAAGACGACGGGGCGCTTTCAGTTCCGTTCGAAATTCTCGACCGATGGAAAGTACCTGTACCTCCACATTCACGATCGAATTGTCACTACTTGACGATAATAAAAATCGTTCACTTGGCCCCGTCTAACCGAGGGTCACAGGACGATTGGAGAATCGATCCGAGATTCTCAAACATTCTTGCGGCTCTTGGAAGGACGTTGAAGGATGATACACTGTCTATGAAATGTATTTTTCTTTTTTTTTTTCGATGGGTGTTCATGCAAACTGTAATATTTATATGCACAGGAAATAATATGGTACTCGTGACAAACGTGGCAATTATTATAATAATAGGTACTGGTCGATCTGTACTTCTTGAATAATGATCGTCGCCGTGCACAATAGGACGTAAAATTAAATCTCGCCTAAACACGCCTGTAGCTGCCAGAGAATTTCACGTGTATAAGACGGTTCATTGATAAAAATAATATTATCTATAGCTCGACCAGGTATCGAACCTAAAGGTACTAATAGAGCTTTAGACAACAGTAACCCCGTTACATGGATCAATGATCTACCGTTGATTTATCGATCGCTTACTACCATCGGAATATTATTGATAATATTGGTATTATTCTGGTGTTGTTATTCCTTATGAAATTTTGTTATTATTCTGTCCACATTTTGGCTTAAAAGCGCCTTAAACCTAAAATGGGTCGTCTTTAATGCGTCATGTGCTATCTGGGCTGTATAACCGAACGTATTACAGAGTTTAGGAAATTTTTCAAAAGGTACACGTTCTAAGAAACTGCTAAATGAAAGTTTAAATCCATATAGATACTACGAAACTCTCCGTTAAACGTAATACAATGAGCCTAGGTAGAGAGGATCAATTTTTATGACTTAGTTTTCTATTTGTAAAGCGTTGATAGTATTTCAACAATGTGCCATAAAATCTCATTCTTGCAGCAACAGTCTCTTCTTAGTGTAAATATTGATAGTTTCGAAAGACACGTTTTTTATTGCACTCGTGATAAAATGTGCTTGTTACAACTCTATGGAAAGTCGAACCATTTCTAGAGTTTATTACGGTATTATCTTATACTCTGTTAAGTAAAAAACAAAATACGTAAAAACAGGGTTCAATGTAATCTTAAATTAATCAAGCATGTGGATCGTGTGTAATATAAACAATGCATAATTTGTCATTACTTTAATCTAGAGTTAGTCCTCGTTATATGATAAATTATTCTTGCAACGAGAATTTAAAAGAAATTATTGAATTACTGAAACGATACTGACATTGATGAAGTATATTGTAATTGCAAAATCACAATCTGCCACAACTATGCTGACGTTAAGAGTTTCCGTAGATTTAAAGTAAACTGAAAACGTTATTATATATTATTATGTTGCTTATTTTATCAATTTCTATAAGCTATAATTGCAGGAAATCTGCGGTTACATAGTCAATATTATAGGTTACGTGACGAACGGTTCAAATTTCCCTGGAAAGACGCGGAGGCGCTCGAGTCATTAAAGACACTGTAGAATACGTAACCTCGATATTTATATAGTTGAAGCTGTGTACCATAACCTATCTTGTTGTTTCTTCTGCGTTCCGTAAATAGTGATACCAGGAACCTACGTTTCATGTTTGTCCCATCGTTTCCCGTAATATTGTGAGAGAGCGGACGCGAGAGCTTGAAAAATGGACGATCTTATGGAGGCCATGGACGTGGAAATGGTCCCTATTGAGGATGACAGCAAAGCTGTTGACTCGGACCAAACCATTGAGAAAGCATTTAACATGAAAAACAATCAAGTTCCTGAGGTAAAGATATAGCACCGATCATTGTATTTCGTGCCTGAATCCTCGGTTCGATGAAATCACGATAGCATCTAAAATTTTAATATTACTGTTTCTATATATTTAATATTAATACCTGTGCTTCTAATGTTAATATCATTTCTTAACTAATTGCTAACTAAAACTTTGAAACTGCAACAAGTGCTGCAGTTTCATAATAATATGTATCTTATAAATACAGAAAGTGGAGACTCGTTATGAGAATCGTGGTGGTACATTCACCACAGGCATAGATATATTCAGCAAAGAGGAGAAGTTGAAAATGGAAGAGAGAGCTAAACGTTTTGGGTTGACAGAGAAGATAAATAATAGCTTGTCTAATCAAGAGCAAGACTTGTATTCCAGGTGAAGATCTTGTTTGATATTTATTTGATAGATAGGATACAATGATTCATTAATTACGGTATAGTGTAAGATGTCTTGATTTTTAGTATGGGTATTATAGAAGACAATGAGAATACAAAGCATGTCAGACTAAATGTGATACACATGAGAGGAACTGAAGATATGAGCACCAAAGATGTGTTCAAATACTTTGAGGACTATGCTCCGGCATCCATTGAATGGATCAATGATATTTCATGTAAGAATAACTTATGATGTACATCAATTTCCAACACTAATGTATAATGTATTGTAGGCAATGTTGTATGGTTAGATAATGTATCAGCAGCTAGAGCTATGTTAGGATTGTCGAAAAGGATTGTGGGTTTAGAAAAAGCAAGTCAGAAAAGTACTAAAACACACGATAATCCAGATGAGGAAAATAATGTAACTAATGAGGACTCTACAGTAGAAATGGAGGATGAGAATGATAGTACAAACGATACATCACAAACAGATTGTATTAACATCAAAAATATTAATTGTCCATTGCCGCCTGGTTCATGGAGGAAGGGTATCGATTATCCCAAGTCAAAAGCAATATTTCTTAGGTTTGCTAGTAGAGCTGATAAGAAGCAGCATAATGCAGAGAAGATGAGTGAATATTATAAGAAATACGGGAATCCTAACTTTGGAGGTAATACTAAACACTACAAGAGTTTTGTAGACTGCATTAATTACATACTAAACACAGGAAACCTAAAAAGTCCATCTTTGCAGGTATCAAAGGAATCTTAACTGAATCTCGTAAAAGAATGTACAAACAAATTAGACAGACTAAGAAAAGATTCAAAGAGGAGGATCAAGAAGATTCGAAAAATCAGAAACGGGCAAAGAATCCATGGGGTGCATTGTCAGAAAGTTGGGGTATGAATGATTTTGTAGAAGATGATTTTGGGACGACAAATGATCACAAAGATCAAGGACCCAGTGTTAAAGAGAGACTGGGTGTAAAGTATCCTTCAAAAGATCCGACGCCTGTACAGGAAAAAGAAACCAGTGAAAGCAGCGATAGTGAAAATGACTGGTGCAAAAGAAGTAAAGTACTGAGGATGCGGATGCATGCGGATGACGAGGAAGAAAAGATCCACAAAAGACGCGCGAAAATTCGACAGCAAGTGAGTAGATTTTTCATTACCACATTCAATCAATGAAACTGTTCACGTGCACAGATAATGTGTTTAAATATTCACATTTACTCCTAGACATTGTTGAATAATTTCGACAAGGGTAATGATTTACGGTCGAGGCTTGGTAGATCAAGGAAAGCAACGCAGTTCCGTGATGCGATCCAAGTGGTTGTGACGAATACGAATGCAACGAAGATGAATTCGATAAAAGCTAACGACTCAGAGGTAGTCATTGCAATTCACTTATCCTTCAAATAATAAGTAGCAAAGGTGGAATATTAACAATACCTTTTCATTACACAGGAAGAAGATGGTGAGATTATAGAGGAGGACGAAAGTCAAGAAAAGGAGGAAGGTGAGTGGCAAGAATCCGATGAGGAAGAACAAGAAGAAGAAGACGAAGAGGAAGATTATAGCGATGAAGATAGCGATAGACCAGCAAAAGAAGTTCAAGGCCCTAAAGGCAGTGTAATAAAAGTGGTTCAGAATAAACCCCGCGTTGCTTCTACGGTATGGGCAAGATTAAACAATGTAGTAAAAAGCGAAGTCACCGACAGCTCTGTCAAAGACAGGTAATAATTTTAACAAATTAATATTTAAATATTGAAGATCGAGTCAAGAAAGCTTCAATTTAGTTTTCTATGAGTGTATTGCATGTTTGTTTTAACTCTGCTTAATTCGTCTTACTAAAATTCCAAAAGAATTACTGTCCGAGTTCTAAATACAATAACGTTTTTAAAGGCAATCAAGAGTACGGGACCTAAGAAGTACTCTAAAAAGCGGTGATCTTCGATCTCGTATCGGTAGTCACACAAGAGGACGTTCTCCTTTAAGGATAGAAGTAAAAAACGATAAATATACAGAGGAAGGAAGTGAGGCGGAATAATTGTTGATCAATGAAACGAATAAACACGCGAGACACGGTTGTGATGTTACATTTCAGTAATGAACAGCATGGTGCGGAATTTTATAATCGGTATATAAAAACATAGAAATTGCACTCATTACTCACGTAATTACCAGAAAATATTAATCAGACAATTTTCAAGTAGCCTGGGTAAATAATGATTGCATGAAATTCATTTTTTCTAATGAAACATAAAGATGTTTGCTTGTACTTTACTGTAAAATATGGAATTCGAAATTTTGCAAGCTTCAGTTAATTGCTTGAGATGTTTCAATAATCTTATACTACCGCCAGTAGATGAATTAAAAGTTTTATGTTACTGCTCTTACATACTCGCCTTCTAAAATAATATTTAATTAATGTACATATTTATATTAAACAAATCTTCCCACATCTCTTAAATTGGCTTTCTAATAATACGAGTTTAACGTCATTTCCATACATTGAAGGTTTATATTAAACATCATCTTCCTGCTCTTGAAATACTATAAAGAGTAATGAGTGCTTCCTGACATGTGTGTAAATATTATCTAGCATAGATAATAAAAAAAAATCAATTTTCGTTAACATATTGGGTACAGGGAAATGTATGTAATAGAATGTATTTTTAAATATTCGTTTGTACGATTGCAAAATATTTGACGAAAAATCACATTTAATTAAATGAATATTTCGTCCAAAAAAAAAATATTTTTGGATACTTCGAGACCGAAGAAATATAAATTTTTATCCTGCCGTAGAGGAAACAATACAAACGAATATTTAATCAACTGTGCATCGAAACAGCGTAGTAACTTTAGTCTTTATTTTTTCTTCGGAAAAATTTCACTGGTATAACTAACTAAAAAAAGAAGTGAAACCCTAAGATACTCAGTTGTAAATAAAAAATAAACTTCTACGCGATTAATACGATACGTACAGAGCATTTAGAGTATATTTTCCTTATGTATTTTGCAAACAATGAAATATTTCGAGATCTGTGATTTCTTAGACGTGTACTTTAAAAATGAAACGAAGGTGCGATTCGATAACAAAAGTACATCTAACATTTTGTTAATGTAATTCATCACATATCCAAATATGACTGAAAAATAGTCAACGAACCATTCGAAATCAAGTGAATAGGGTATAAGAATAACTGTGACATCGATTCCGAATAATTGACCAATAAAGCCGCTTTTATATTAGCACAATAATACTTTGAATAGTCATTTTAAAATACAATAATTGATAATTACGATATATATATGTATAATATATACTCGATCATTTACACGAATAACAATTATTCGGAGAAATAGCTAAAGTTTAATTTAAAAATGAAAGATTTTTCCGTTGAAGAACACAGTGGATTATCGGAATATGATTCTTTAGCCGCATTCATAGATCCTTACGCAACCATTACTTCGAATCTTTGCGTGAACATTTGACCTGCATCACACTTTGAATGAAATTTCCTGTCGTCTGAAATTTATGTCAAAATGCATAAAAGTGCTTATCGACTAGAAACAAATTGTAATATCAAGTCGAGGATAGTAAGTTTTTTTTTTATGAATGCAGCTGGAGGCACGAAGTTATTTCAATGCATTAACAAACGAGATACGATATTTTTGATGCCATTGAACGGTCGTACAATTTTATATTATATGTATATGACGTGCTTCATTTAAAACGACGTAGAATATTGAAAACGAGTTCCTCTAACTACCATCACTAACTGTGAATCAATTTTCTAATGTCGCCTCTATATTTGCATATATTTCATTAATTGCAACAGTTCTATATACTACACCTGATTGCGACCTAGTTTCGTTATAGGTACTACTTTTTATTCATCTTTGCCTATGGATCAAAAATATCAGTCTCGTTCGCTAAAAGGCAATCGTGCAAGATATCGGTGGATGTCTTTCTTCTATCTTACATAAAAACTGTTAAAATTGTCCTTTAGTTACTGTTTCTGTCTTTATCGAAACGACGCGGTTTTTCACTGTGCGCTATCTCTCTCATTCTCTCTCTCTCGCTTACTCTCTCACTTCTTATTTTTTTTTGTTTTTTTTTTCTTCACTGTTTTTATCATAAATGACGTATAACATTGAAAATCCATAGACGAAATATTTCTTCAATATTTGGATATATAAGATATGAATCAGCAACAACAACAAATACACGCAACGTTAAGTATATTAGGCCTGATGATATTGATTAGATTTCTATCAATTTATGTTTTAAACACTACGAACTATCGTTGTTCGCATTCGACTTGTATTCTCTGCCCCTTTTGCTTCCCCGATAAGGGTGTTCCAATTGGTCTAATTAAATAGACAATCCTTAAGCAATAAGACATATACTTCCATGAGGTTTTTGTACATTCACGGTAGAACACGATATTTGATATATCTTCATCGGCAATAGATGTAGAATTTCATCTATGATTACACTTGTCTTCGAATTATTAATTGACCATTGAATTTCGATACTTTTGCAGTCAATAGTAATTGTAAATCAATAATAGTAATTGAAGAAAAAAAGGAAGAAATTACGTCCTGTGTGCAATCTTTTACATTCTCAAATCCATAATGAATATTCAGATTGTTCGTTTTTCTAGCGTTTCACCCTATATCATACGATACACATATTTGCAAAATATTCGAACGTTTCTCGTTCCAACTTGAAAAGGCAATTTCGGAACACCGATATCGTGGAGTCAGCCGCCGATTGGCCTGATAATCTCTCTCCTCGGTTTGGCGAGGCAGCTCGTGAAAATTTATTCGGCAAACATGGTCTCGCAGTGTTAATCGTCCTCGACGGTTTTTGGCGCGATTTAAAAAGCTACCAGGAGACTGTTGGATTAACTTTAAATTACACATATGCACGTGTATATTATTCACGGAACATCCGACGCTTTACATGGCCAGTGTACACGCAGAAAGAAGATTTGAACATTTAATAAACCTCGCTGGAAATCAGTCCACTTAACGTTCAACGTTATTTTAAATTCCCACGAATTATGTGTTGTATACATATACGTATATACGATGTAGAGGTTCCAAAGAGAGAAACTGTGGAAGTATACGAGGAAGAAAGAAGTATCGCTAATCGTTAATTCTTCACAGATTATTGCTCTTACAACGGAATCGAAATAACATTTAAGCTATATATTAACCGGAGAATTGGTTGAAGTTCGGTAATACCCGTATATAATTGAATGTGTCGATAAATGTGTATTAGCATATATCTTTGAAACATTTTATTGCGCCCCGTTATTATATTTCATTGCATTGAAAATATAGAGCGAAGAATTACCACAACTGAACGGTTTTTATGGTTGTTTTTTCTTTCCAGACTTTCTTTCTGTGTTCTTTTTTAAATGAATTCGTATTCGAGATACTCGAAAGTACCGAACTGTTTCATTGTTTCTTTTGTCAATTGCTACTATTACTGATACATTAAATTTCAATTGAATTTACAATTGATTAGAAGATCGAAGAACTATATATCGAGAAACAAAAGGAAACAATTTTAATGCTTCGGACATTTTTTCTTTTTCATAAACATTCAGTACCATCGAGCTTGTAAATACGAACGAAGATATTTCGTACATCAAGAATTGAACGAGATGGCACGTATACATAAAATAATGTTTGGAAATGGGCGGAGCGTCCTCTTAAATTGCTCCGCGCGGGAAAGGTGTCTTGTCTTCGCGTGGAGTTTTATCTTATGGAAATGATACGCGCGTCGTTCTTCCACATAATCGGTCGATTACTAATTTCCATGGGTGAAATCACCGTCTAAAAATCCGGACGACGTCAACGATACGATTATAGTAACAAGGACACGCTAAGTATAAAAAGACACACGAGTTAAGATCCTTTGCTGCCGCTGGAACGCGTACGTTGTCTGTACTCTTCTGAAAAGTAAAAACAATGAATCTCTTTCTATCTAATAATTAAACAAGGAAAAACAAAATAAACATATTAAGAACACTTCGTCAAATCCTACGATCTTTACTCGCATAATTATGGATTAAGAATTTCCGATTGCTACGAAATTGGTAAAGTTTCGCTCTTATAAATTCCAAAAAAAAAAAAAGAATAGAAAGAAAAAGAAACAGATGAATCCGTTAAAACGTTCCTCTCCATCTTCTACGATCCATATTATTATTATTATTATTATTCCGCAATCTCTTCTGGTGTACTAGATTACAAAAACTTTCTCTCTGATGCGTTCCGGTGATAAACAATAACAAGATTGAATCAATAATCCAATACTCTCCAAGGGCTCTGGTGAAACGAAACAACGCTGAGAAATTGAAGAGGACACCCGCGAGGGAAGTGTACAATATTCTGTCTCGGTATTTTCTATTTATAGTCACCCCCAAAAAAAAAGTATACCATACGAAATCTCAGTGACAAACGAAGCGTTAACCGTGCGTCACCAAACGTTTCCATGGATATAACAAGAGATGTGCATTGAAAACGCGTCGACGTTTCGAGAAAAACAGAAATAGGCACAATTTCATTCGAATAGCAAACGACGAATCGAAACCGGTACATAAATTTGTATATGTACGTAACAGACGAAGAGAAAAAGTTTCCACCGTCTATCCGTTATTCGAAACTCTCGGAATCGAGCTATGAATTTTGCCCACATCTGGAACAGAAGTACGAATCCACGCACATCATCGACGTGTTATCAAGAATATTTTATTTTGGTTGCATCGAAGAACGTCAGATATCTGATTAGTTCGAGGGGATGCAAAGTATTTCACATTGAATTTTTCGTCGAATCGTTTCGTTTTTGTTTTGCGCTCCTGTTAGTCTACCGCTTTGTATCATTCTCCCTTGCACTCTTTCTCTTTCTCTCGCTATGTAACAAGCTTTCACGGTCTCCGAACCGTTTCTATCGATACTACAATCGCTTTTCCTTACGATAATACATCGATACATAGTATTTCAAAGACAAGAATAAAGTGTTTCCGTTCTTTAGCCGTTCCAAGCGTGTACCCTCGTCATCCGATTGTCATCGATTAGCAAGGTTCTTCGAACCACGCTAATTATGGTTGCCGACAATGAACCTCTGCTCTCTACAAACGTCTTAGACAACAACAAAATCATCACAGATAAGCGATATTGTAATATGAAATATTTTATCGTTCGTTTCATAGTGAACATTTCTTATCTATATAATCGATCTGTTCACCTTTATTATAGAATTCTATAGTTATTAGGTGTAAAGAATTAAATAAAATTACGCACGCGTTAAGTAAACCACGAATTTCGACCATGTTAGTTCAATTTTGCATTGATTCATTGCCATCTTGGGATTGATTATACTTCGTCGCCGGTGTAACACGGATATAGTAAGATTCCAGTTCTTTTTTTTTTCATTTTGCAGCATTCATACCCCGTTAATTCAAGACGAACAAAATTAACGAGTTTTACGTACAATTTTTCACATCTTATACACTTCCTGTCCCGATTAATGGATTTCTCATGTACGTTTCTTTATCACAATCGGATAAGATTGGTTTGTCTCCTAATCGTCGACGACAGGTTCGTGTATTGTACAGCGCAATCAACTGTATCCGCTCGTCCGATTTTCCACGGCGTTAGTCAGGAGCATGTCGAATATCCAAACAAGTTAATCGTTAGAATTTACACGTACACTTAGAGCGAAGAAACACGAGTCGAAATAAGAATGTTTTTTTTTCTTTTTTTTCTTCTTCTTTACAATACATCTAACCGACATGGTGAGAGTTTGAATACCCGGAAATCGCGTGCAAGATGGACGTCGGTTTTAAAATGATTATCAAAAACGGAACGTACTTGAAGCAACGGCGCGGCGGCGGCGATCCTCAAACATTTTCGATAGAAAAAGAATGAAAAAGAAAAACGAAGGAGTGTGTGACGTATATATATTCTACTGTGTATAATGGATTGGAAGTGTAAAAAAAAAAAGTATAGAAAAGTATACACGTAGATATCATTCAAACAAACACCATGCGCTTCGCACAATACTGGCAGTTTATCAGTGTAATAATACCGGTAGATTGTGAAATAAGACGTAATTAAACGGCTCAGAAGAACTGGAAGCTGCATCGAATGCAATTAACTATGAATTATCGTGTTTTTTTCCCTCTTTTTTTTCTGCACCTCTCACTCGCTCTTTCTCACGCGCACGCGCTCTCTCATTTTGTCACTCCTTCCGTCTTCCTTCTAGCGTTATCTCTCACACACTCACTCACTCACACTCTCTCCTTCCTCCACAAGCTATGAAGTTCGATAAAAGGCAGAAAAACATTTTCTGCAAGGTACGCAACTACCGTAATAAGAATGATGACACTGAATTACATAACGCAACGAAACTATCTTTACAAATACTTCTCGGTGACTCTTCTTCAATGGCTGTTTTGGTTTGCAGTACACTCTCGACGTTGTATCAATGTCTCTCAATGAATAATGTTTTGTTACTAAGCAGATCGTGCGAAGATGCCATTAAGTCATAAATAACTTCCGCCGTATGTGGCAAAAGCGTAACTAAATAGTAATTAAATAATTATCGTAATAATTATAGCAACATATAATAAGAGTGGAGTATACATAATAAATTAATGTTAATTATACAGTGCTGTAAAGCAAAATAAATTCAAAGAAGACAAACAGAAGTTATTCGCGGCTCAATCTAATACTTCACTTGTATGTAGAGTGTTTCTAGACATGAGATATTCCTTGTTTGTAAGAATAAATAAAATATTCTTCGAAATTTTGAATTTATTTTTACATAGTGTTCCATCCAATTGTCTTACCAGTCACGAAGCACTCTATTTATTTTGAAAGATCATATTAATACTCGTATAAAGTGATTCAGATTTGATCAATTGGTGTTACAGTTTTCATGTAAACACCAGTCCTAATGACAATACAAGGCATTGAGAGGCATTGTATTATTCTTGGTATTATGGACAAACACACGCTTCTTCGAGTTTCCTCTTTTCATGCATATATTCTTACTCTCGCACTCTCTTTCTCTCTCTCTCTCCCCTCTCTCGCTCATATGGTTTTCTCATCGGTCGCAGTTCTACGTGGCTCAGAGTCTACACATGAACACCGACCACCGCATCCATTCTCACTCGGCAATTAAATCACAGACAATGTATGACGGTGATTAACAATATATAATCGTCAACTAGCGTTTACCTATATAAATTCGGGATAAATAAAAGTTATATTGTACAAATTAATATTATGCATTCCATGTAACAAAAAAAAAACACTGTATTTTGTTTCCTTCCGGTAGAGACATGCGAATGTACAAGTGTGTTTGCACGGACACTGCGATTTTTCGTATTTTTTTTGTTCTGTTACTGTTTTGTTTGTTTTTTTTTACCTCGTTCACCGCTCCCATTATCGCCCGTTAACCGCTGGATCGACCCTTGTCTTCTCGATCAGTGTCTCGCGTTCGAGGAGCTTCTCCTTTCCTTCACACATTCGATCGAGTGAACAACTGTAAATGAAGTACACTTCTGTTATTATGACGCCACATCTTCGCCCCCTTTTTGGTCGTTCTGCCACACTTGCTGCAGCTGAAACGTGTTATTGTTATCCCTTTGAATGCTGATCACTGTGGAATTGTTTGAGTTAGCTGAGCGTAGGTACCAATAGACTACATAGTGTTCTCCTGATGATTCTTCTGAAATAGGAGGGTCTCTTCGAAGATGTATTGTTTCAAAACTTCTTTCGGCAAATCATCTAACTCCATGTCAAATTTAAATGGCTCTTCCGCGACAGGCTGGAATAATTTACCACTTATTATATCACTAAGTTCTTCTTGGTTAAAATTAATTTAGAAAAATACGTACTTCATCAGAGGGATCATAATATTGTTCTAAATAAGGATGTGCGAGCGCATCTTCCACGACGATTCGCTTGTTGGGATTAAATGTCAACATTTTGTCTAAAAGATCCAAAGCCCGTGAATCAGCATTCGGAAAGAGACTCGTCCATGGAACCTTTGGCTTATAAGGTAATGACTGAAGGTAATTTCGTGCCTATAATAAAGGATATATAACAATTAATAAAATGGTCCATGAATTTATAAATGAATACAAAAAAACAATATATACTTTTTCATTAACAATACAGTCAAGATCCTCAGTAGACGGTGATCCAAGAATTCCCAATATATGGTTCAGTTGGTCTAAGTAATGTTTGCCTGGAAATATTGCTCGTCTCGAAAGCATTTCCGCAAGTATGCAACCGACTGACCAAATATCTATAGACTTAGTATATCCCTGAGAAGAGGAACAATAAGATGAAATACTTGAGTTACATATGTCTTAGTTGTAAGTTAATGCTTAAGATAATTTGTACCTTGGAGTTAAGCATTATTTCTGGAGCTCTGTACCATCTTGTTGCTACATATTCAGTAAGGAAGCCAGCATGATTATGCTCTGGATCGGCGACTCTGGCTAAACCAAAATCACAGATTTTAAGGTCACATGTGGTATTCAAGAGGAGGTTGCTCGGTTTCAAGTCTCTGTGCAACACATTCGCAGAGTGAATGTACTTTAACCCTCGTAGTATTTGGTAAAGAAAATAGCATATATGATCGTTACTAATAGCCTAAAATTAAAAGAGATTTAAATGTATCACCATTTCAAACAGTTGCAACTGACCATATTATTACGCTAACCTGTGTTTTAAGAAGTTTGTAGAGATCAGTTTCCATCAGACATTGAACAATATATACATCTTTCATTTGATCTATAGTAGGTGCCCTTAATATATCCCTTATGTCTATTATCTGCAAAAAGATGTTATAAAAGTCAACGTGGATTGAGAAGTCCTTATTGCAAATCAATTATTAGACACTCACATTTTCATGTTTAAACCTGGTCAGAATTTTTATTTCCCTTAAAGTTCTCTGACTATACGTTTGATGTTCAAAAGGTGAAATTTTTTTAATAGCTACCTTTGTTTTCGTTACATTATCATAAGCAGATCTGTAAAAACAAAATTTTTATCAATTTGTCAGATAGACTTTCCTACTTTAATAGAGGAATATTAACATAAAATACAATGTGCCCCAAACAATGACCACATTACAGGAAGTGGTTGCTTAAGATTAAAAACCACTCTTATTACATTAATTGTAATAGTCTTTTCAATGTAATTCCTAACAGTAGCAAAATGATAAATTGCAAATCTTAAATATTATAGAGAAAAAACAGAACTGCAACAATTATAGAACATGAAAAAGTCATCGTTTTAATGACATATTAAAAATATACTACAATGTTCTGCTGTCAAAAACAATGTGACTCTCGTCAAATGAGAAATGACATATTTCCCAAAGAGACCATAAATTCGACGGAAAAAGAAATTCGCTATGGCTACAGAGTTTCTGGAAGTAATCGTGATTTTGTTAATAATTAACGGCGCAATGATAAGAACGATAAACATGCGATAAGGAACTGGGAACAAGGAAGTCATGACGCTGACACGCAAGTGAGCAAGAGTCTGAAAGGGTGTGACAATTCCGTTCAAAACTGGCGCCAAAAGACAACGACACATAACGATGAGTAGCGCTTAATAGCGGGTGCACACGGTGTCGGGGCAAAATTAAAACCATAAATACGTGTCGTAGAACGAGAATCCAGCCGTAGTTCAAGCGATTCCGCTGACAACTGTATTTCTGATTGTTTATCTTTCGGCCTGTCAGCCAGTCGATACGCGGGCGAAAGTTCTCACCAGTAACCAACAGAATTGACTCGAAGACACTTACACGACCATCCCATAGGCACCCTCACCCATGTACGACAAATTCGTGTACCGCGGGCCGACCTCGAACGTTTGTCCGCGAACGACCTCGCAATTCGGATTCGCACTTGCAGAACCTTCGCCCGCCATTTTGACAACTATTTTGCGGCTCCGGCGAAGTCGGAACGAGCCTTGCTTCTTCGCCGACTCGCCACGAACAACACTGTGGCAAGATACACTCAGAAAGACTTTTATACTCTGCTTATCAAATAAGTCGTAGCAAAATGGTTCTCGAATTAGACGATAGGAGGTGGCGAACAGCTACTGATTCTCGTGGTGGATGTTAGAGGGCTTCAATTTGAAATGGTAAAAATTTTTTGCTGAAAAACAGTGGTGTCCATGAGTAGGCTACCTAGGTACCTTTTAGTAGGCGCTTTTTTTGTTCAGTTCAGCAGTTGGCGCGGTTGCGCCAAAGTAGTCTGACGATTGTTTGAAATAAAGTACCATTTTCATAATTTTCGTTTTTTCTTAATGAACATGTGTTTTTTCAAAACCAAAATTCGGACACCTACGAGGAAGCATTAATTGGGTAAGCTACAGACTTTAACAATGAACAACGGTACATCGAAAGTATTAGTTTTCGTGCCGTAACATCAGTGTCATTTCTTGTTTTCTTATATTTGCCATCTTCTATAAGGCATTCATTATTCTTATTCTTCGGGTTATGCAGTGCCGAGTGCTTACAATTGTTAAATCTTGTAGGATATAATAAAAGTGAAATAGCATAAGGCTATTTGATTTACAAGATGTTTAGTACATATTTGTACATACATAACTTAAAATAGTTCAATTGAGAACATAGTTTTCAGTATATTATTACCCATATAGAGTACACGATCTTGGCTAATGCGTCGTCGTCTTATGCATTAATAAATGAATTTTGTAGCCGTCGTCACCGTGAAACTTAACAAAGGGAACGCGATTGACACTTGAGTGGGTCATAAATTAAACCTTTCCTGGAACTGCGTCGAGACCGAGACGACAAACACGTTAAGAACTGCGACGCCGGGATGACATTCATCGCACATCAGCGATGTTTTTTATTAAATATATTACAAATTATTCTGTCGTATAGTTGGAACGATTATTTTGTTGCAGTCTTTTATCTTACAGTTGCATACAATTTATAGAAGATGCAATCACAAATAAATCTGTGCGTCGCAACTGCTAAACCGTCGCAGTCTAAAAGGGCCTGTTTATGACATACCGTGAAGAGTATTTCTTCAGATCTGTTTTTAGTATTTCCAACAATATAGTAAGACTGTAAACGAAAGGAATTATAAAAAAAAATCCAGAAACAAAGCGGGGGAAAAATAATTAATGACATACATGTTCGTAATATGTCGAAATTTTGAAAATATTAATGATTGTAAGATGTGACGCCTAATGTACTGCCAATTTAAGAAACATTATCGTCCGATCCTCGGTAGTATAGTGGTCAGTATCCCCGCCTGTCACGCGGGAGACCGGGGTTCGATTCCCCGCCGGGGAGGATCTATTTTTGCAATTTTTATACTGAAATGTCTTACCGTAATGAGCCATCTCGTGGCCGCGGGATTCCGGGAATCGGGTGACGTCACGGCGTGCGAGCGAGAGCGGTAGAGCGAGCCGCGGTATCGGTGCTCTCCGTCGGTGTTGACGGGTGCCGAGGAATTTCGGTGGTCTATGGGAGGGAGGTGTGCGAGCGAGAGAGTACGGTAGAGCGTGCCGAGTATCGGTGCTCTCCGTCGATCCAACGCGCCAGTGAGTTGCGTCACCCAGTTTATTGACTTAGCCGTGTACGTCGTGTACCAAGGTCGTACCATCCCGTGCAGGTCTGTGCTTGCTTCCTCACTTTCTCGTGAACCGTCGCGGAGGGTGGTCGCGCGTCTCATACTCGTCTTTTCTTGTTACTAACCCATTGTTTGTTGCAGGCATTCGACAACCATCAATTTATTTACTGTGCATATTGTTGTGTCCCCTCTCTTGTTACTAATCCCTTATATGTTACAGATGTTCGAGAACCATTGGCTTCGATATTTATCTTCTTATGTACTGTGATTCATTTAATGTGATTTATTTACTGTGCATATTATTTATTTATTTACTGTGCATGTTACTAATCTATATACTGTGCATATTGTTGTGTCCCCTCTCTTGTTACTAATTCCTTGTATGTTACAGATGTTCGAGAACCATTGGCTTCGATATTTATTTTCTTATTTACTGTGATTTATTTACTGTGCATATTATGTATTCTATGTGTATTGTATAATGAAAAATATTTTTCCAAACAGTTATTCCATCGAAAGAAGACATCGATCAACGTCTACATCTTCAAAGCGTGCGTCTACCACTGCGTTAAGTTACTGTAAGTTAAACTTAAATCATAATTCGATATTCATTGTTATATTCATATTCATCATCACATCGTTTATTATTAATTTTAGTCTATCTATTAATAGACTTAAATTGTGATCAGCCATTGTGCATACCAAGTTATTATTAATTCATTTTGCTCGTTGATTTCTCTACACAGACTTGGGGTATGGGCAGTGGGTCTGTACCTATTATGGTACGGGCAGTGGGCCTGTGCACTAAGACTGTTTGCCGATCCCTCTGGTTTCTATTGAGAAGCCAGATATCGGACGTGTTTAGTCTTTGCCTGGTAAGTAGGATTTGGAGTAAAGGCTCGTGCGCGCCTGGGTACAACGTACCCGCCTACGGAGTAGACGGGAGTCTGCTCCGTAAAAGGACTCTGTTTTACAGGGGATCTCGCTTGCACTACCATACTTGGTCATGACCTGTGCTCGGGTCTGGTACGTACGTGACCAGCCCAAAGGGCCTGGAAAGTGAGAGATGGATTCGGGTTTGCGAGGTTGCGCCCGTCTTTCCTATTTTCTTAAACCAGGTTCTGGCGACAACACTTTCATCGCGATACTTGTTCATACTGTAGTTTAACGTGGTTCATCGTAGAATTAATTTTTGGCTTGGTATATTAGGTGCGTAAACGAAATGATCGATGGAACTTTTTCCATTCCGTCTATCTCTTTCGTTTGAGTATTAGCGACTACATTGCGTTAAATTTGTTATTTCGTATTACTAGCATTAATTCGTATTAATTAGAATATTAAGATAATATTAGTTCTAAGCTGAAGAACGAAGACAACCGACGAGGGAACTTAGTTTTTTATAGGTTTAGGCTCAAGAAAGAAGTCATCCGCCGAGGGATTTTAGTATCGGTAGTATTAGATAGTTAAGATTTAAGTAATTTATAAGGTTTATTGTGAAAGGTGGGTAGATGTGGAACTTGTGATTCCATCTACCTGCCTTGGGCCTCCACTCGCAGCAACCTCCTCGTGGTGAGGCCTGGGCAATCGGTATTGTCATCGGTAAAGTACTGTAAACTGAAGACAATATCGAGCTAATGGCTGCGAACTTTGAATCTATCTCATAAAACCACGTTCTATATTACATTGAACTAGGATTAGGTTAGTCGGTGATACAATTTACTCATACAAAACAATTAAACGCATTAGGTGCATATTCTCAAGCGTTAACTTTGGTTTAATATTCTACGACGTTAAAGCGTTCTATTAGTTTTGCACACAACAATTAAACAAAGTTTGCTTACATACATGCAGAATTGCAATTTAATTCAAACACGACAAAACTAGCTGGTCAAATTGGTTCATAAAATAAACAAATTACTGTGCATCATAATTATAGGAAATGTAATGTACGAAAATCATAATTAAGACACATTATTTACTTAACAATAATAGATCATTCAACTAAAGTACAATTTATGAAATGCTGTAGTTTTAATACACAATGCTTACTTTATTTGTTTCGTTAAATGCTTATGTTAATAGCAATGAGTTGTATATACAAAATAAAGCTTTCTACGAAGCTTTGATGAAGTTCCTGTACATCGTTCTTTCAAAAAGTAGCAATTTAACAAAAATATCTTGCAAATTAATCAGTTTATTTTCGTTACAGAAACATTTCATGGCATGTGTTCATTTACAAGTGTAGCTATATAGACATATTCGAACACTATGTCAGAATAAATTATGTGCTTATTTTATTTGATTTGAGTTCACTGCAACTTTATTTTTGAATAATGTTTAAGTAAGCTCTAATAATCCAAACCTAATAGCGGTATAAATAAAGCCGCGACAGGAGCCTTCACTTTTTCTGGTACTTCATCTTGATCAGGCATCATCTTGTCGGCAACATGTTTAAATATTTTACCGTCGTTATTAACATAAAAAGTAGAGAAACCATCATACCACCTATTAATAAATGTTTATAATTAAAATAATATTACAAAATACAATAAATGATTTATTACATAAAAGGGTAACTGAATTTACTTACGCTTTTGTATCATTTAAATGTTTCTTCATATTCCAAACTCTGAGTTTCCAAAATGTAAGAAATACGTGTGTACCAGACATACCTATTATTCGCCAACGAACTTTAATACTATTATCTTCTGGGTGCATAGTTATTTTTAAAATATCTAGTTTGACATAAGCAAATCTTAAATGACTTATTATTTTTAAAAATGCTATTTGCTTCACATATTGAAGAATTCCCCTGCAAAACATTGTCAATAATATGTATCACACATTTTCAATGATAAATTTTTGTTTAAAAAACAGTTTAGATTATATACTCACGTGGTTACAGTTCCCCTAATATTGTTTATAAATAATATATCCTGTGTGTACAATTTATAATCCAGTGCTTTAACAAACAACATGGGTAACTGGAAAAAGCACATGTTTTAATACAAAGAGTTTGTTAAACATTATACAAGATTAAATAAGGTATATGCAAAAATAGATACATACTTCTTTACTAAGGGTATCAAATACATATTGCAATTGTGCTTGAGATGGTTTACGATTCTCAGATGCTTGTCTCTCTTCTACAGTTTGCACATTAGGAGAAATATTTGTATAAAGAAAACCTTGCTTATCAGCACTAGGTGAGATAATATTTAAATTTCTATCAACTGAGAGTAGTACTCTGTGAGACAAACAAGATTGGTTTTTTGCATAAAACCAACTGCAATCTGCATATTGTTCTGACCATTGTCCATTATTATTTAATACAGATTCATTTATAATATCGATATTGTTAATGTTCAATATCTGAGTATCTGTTTGTTTATGCTGTTGCATCCATACTGGCTGCTGTTGATTCCAATTGTATTTTTTATTAAATAGATCTGACCATTCGGCATAAATATCAAAGTAACTTCCTGGTGAAGATTGACTTGTCGTATGAAACACAGAATTGAGACTTCTGTCTCCACTGCTTGTTGTTGCGCATGTTACTGCTGGTGTACTCAAAAACTGAAATTTTATAACAAATACCTGTCATTACTGTTCTTCAGATTTTATACTTAAAATTATTATAATTATGTATTGCATACAATCCAGAGAATGAACAAATAAAAAGGACCGGCAATAAACAGAATTTTCAGTTAAATCTAGACGACTACTATAAAATAACAACATATATACATATTAAAATAAAAAATGTATTATATAAGTATTTTAAGGTTAATTTTGTCCGGCGATTTTATGCGACGATAGAAAGGAACAACAGTTCATAACAGGGAGACCTTAGTTGTCCAGAGGCAAAATGGAAATTCAAATTCTAATGCTTCATGATTGTCTTAAAAAAGATTTGGCATATACCTCTTCTAAAAACTGAGACGATTTAACATGTTTTGGTAAGTGACGGTCAATCTTCGTTACGCGTTTACGTGTATTAACAAAAGGTGTAAATTTATTTGGAAGATTACGTAAACACAGGGACATCTTTTAATGTTTCTCTTTCACTGATTCATACTCAATATTCTTCAATTATACACAATATAACATAATGTGCGACAAGCGCAAATGTCGGCATGGCCTTAACATGATACCCTATACAACCTTCGGCAATGTTCAGGCTCTTTCTAAACACTCTTTTGATAACTTTTTAGACATACACCTCTTTAGCTCGAAAGAGGGCGTGTAGTTTAGTGCGAAGTTTGAAATTTTCATTTGACAAAAAATGGAAAAGTGTTACAATGAAAAACTTAAGTGTCAGATTGTATGACAATTTTGTATTTAATTATATATACATATTAACATGAAGCTATAACGATGATGTTATAATTTTATTTGACAAAAAATAATGATGATGTATTATTACTTAACTAACATAAGTGTTAACATGAAAATCACTTTAAACAATAAAGAACAATAAACGTCAGTGAATGACTGATATGAAGGTATATATAAAATATTTTTAAAAATATTCACTCGGAGAAAATTGTAAGTATCAATGTAAAATAAATTCATTAGATGATAAATATTTCCAGACTGCAACAATGAAATACATTTATATTTGAATGAATATCGTACACAGTTTTACATGAGATGGTAATGGAATACTAATTTGATAATATATTAACAAATTATTAAAAGTTTGAACTTAAAAATATTGGATTACGTTCATTTCGATAGAAATTGTCCGTTGCCATAGTTCGTAGTCATTTTATCATACAAAGATTTATAACAGAACACTGAAATCACTCGTAACTTGCTTCAAAATTAATGGCAAGCTTTAATCTCATTTTCCGTTCCAAATATTAATTATTGTGGGACATTTGCATGCCTTGCCAGAAGACACCATTATTAATTAGTGACACAATTAAGTTTAACATTATTCGCGTAGATCGCTATATCGCTTCGTAGGCGACATCAACACCAATCCTGGGTCCAGAACCATTTAGAAATTCTTCGAGTTCATCGCGTTCCCTGTTTTCGTCTCTCGAACGGTGTGAAGAACGTTTCTTTTTCTTTTCTGCTTTATCTGTTTTCTCTTTATCCTTCTCTTTATCTTTAGGCTTTTTCTTCTTCTTTTTCTCTTTATCTTCAGTCTAAAATGAATTCAATTTAATATAATAGTACTATAAAGTAAAACTTTAACGAAAGATACTTTATAATTGACTCATACCTTTTCTTTGTGTTTCTTCTTTTCTTTTAACACAGGACTGCTGCCATCAGAACTCATATTATGTCGTACACTAGCATTGTCAAGTAGTTCTAGATGTACGTTAGAACTAGTTACGCTAACATCTAAACTTTTATCGCTCAATTCTAGTCTGTCTTTTCTTGTGCTACTACTACTCAGATCCTCGCCACCTTCGGGACTTTGTCTCCATTGAAAATCACGTCGAAGCCAACTATCAGAAGCATCAGAACTAATCTCCTGTTGTTCGTTTAAATCATAATTGTTTGATATTTGTAATTCTTGGTCTATGGATGATACGGAATCACGTTTAACAATCGGTCGCAATTTTTCTGGATTCATTTCCGTATTTGATAAAGAATCTCGTTTGTGTTTCTGCTTAGATAATGGATTCTCAGCCAATTTCGGTTGAATTGGTGGTGTCGTTTCTTCGGTGGATGATAAATCATCCTCGTAATCAGCAACTAAAGGGTTCGCAGTTTCAGTGTCGCTATTAAAAAAAAGGAATAAGTAAAAGTAGTTGAAGTTGTACAGAATATTTCTTATTAACACAACTTCATATACCTTTCAGAATCTAGCTCTTGATGTTGTACTTTCTGTGGTGAACTTTGATTTCCATCCTCTAAAAATGATCGATCTAAAAGTCCGTCATCTGGTACGAAATCTTCAACGCTAGTTAAGGGTACCTTTGTATTTGTATTATGTGCTACTTTGTCAATTTCATCTTCTTTCTTATTACCAAATATCTTGGACATGAGCGACTGTGGTTTGCTAATTGAGTCTCTTTTATCAGAATTACTATTTAAAAATTCAGTCACTTTAGGATCTACTTTTGACATATTTTGCGCAATGGATAATGCTGATGTAGACTGCAGGTTTTTACTATGAACTGTTTGATTTTCTAAAGTACTTATATTTTCTTTCTTCAGTGGCGATTTCAAATCTATATTTTTAACTGGAATGGGCATTCCTCCTCCTATGGGACCAGGCATAGAAATTGATCTTCTAACTTCCGCGTTTGCGTTTATGTTACCATTAGAAGATATATGATGATTGCTTAAAGAAGTAGGGACTAGAGTACTGGCAGAGACAGAGTCAGCAATGGCTCTTCTCCTGTTGACAAGATTATCCAAAAATTTATTGTAATCGGCATCATCGCTATCCTGAAAGAGATCAAGTTCTTGTACTGTTAAACGTGTTTCCTCCTCATTGGTTTCAAGTTGTTTCAGTAACGTTTCCCGTTGTAACTGAAGGAATGGAAGATTGAAGAATTTGTGCAAAAGTTTTAACCCAAAGCCATTTCTCATAGATGATTCCGCGTATCTTACCTGTAGAACATAAAAGTATACAAAAAGTAATGAACATGTTTATTCAAATAGTCATGATAAAATAATAGCATTAAATTTACTTGCGCTGATCTTTCATGTAACGAATCTATAAAGTATGTCACGTGATCTGCTGTAACAGTTCTGTGATGAGCCATGTCACAATGATTTCCTAAAACAATAACTGGAATATGGCTGGGTATTTTTGGAAGTTCTCTCTGTACATAATCAAATGTCCAAAATTTCGTAATATCCATCATAATAATAACACCATTGGTCCGTTTGTACACATCAAGAAATTCTGCATCCAATGCAGGTTCTTCAATTATATTTTCAGACTGTGAATTGTCCATTTTTAAACCTTCAAATTTTTTTCTACGTCGACCTTTATCTACAACATCCCAAACTTCGACTTTAACAATATCATCGGTAGCTTTATAATTCCATTGAATACTGGTTACTTGTATTTCTTCCGTTGGTATGTATTCTTCTATAAACTTTTGGCCTTGAAGTCTATGAAATAAGCATGTTTTTCCCACATTTCTATCACCCTTTATAATAATTTTCACTGAAAATAAATAATATTTCATTTTAAAAATATCTTATATTTGTGGTAAACTTAGTAAGATATACTTACTATTATATTGTACACCTTTGGCAAATTTTCTCTGTAATGTTGTTGGCATAGACTGATGAGCCGGTCTAGGAGATACATTACCAACTCCATCAGACTTTACAGCTAATCTTTTAAATGCAGATAACATTGTTCACCTATTTTTTTTCAATTGTGCCAATAATACTTTAGGAAAATGTATTTTCCTTAAAAATATTAAAACACATATCTAAAGTGGAAAAATGTGTAAAAATTAGACTTCTTTATATTCGTCACATAATTTGTAAAATAAATGCACAGTAATACAGAGTAAATTATGTAAGAATATAAAGGAAAAAAAACGATTTTTTATATTTTTCAGACAACAATACAAACAAAAAAACTTATAGAACAGTGTGGCACTCAAACATCTGAATATGACAATAACATAGATCTGCGAATATAAAAAATATGCAGAAACGTTTTATTAAAAGAAATGTTAATATTAATTGCTACACACCATATTCATATCTGAGAATATTTAAAAATTGTTGTGCAAACTAAATACCTCGCCTCGACCATTTATAACAAATTTCAAAGATAATAGAAGATTATTACATTGCTTACCACATGTTATTCTAAATTTTCTGTAGAAAATAAAAACTTATTCCAAATGGATAACAGATATAACAAAACTTAAGCAGCTGTCACTTGGCAGCTCTATTTATTTTCCGTTTGTAATGTTGGTATTTAACCATTTCTAACACTGTTCGGTATATATATCTATACAATCGATTCTTTTGGTTAAAAAATCGATCTGTTGAATCGATTCTCTGCTGTTCGATTTTTCTGAGAATCGATTCTTTACTCCGAGAATCGAAAATCGATTTTTCTTTGATCAATTTTTTTTCGGTTATAAAGGAAGGTTTTTGAACGCAACTATATTTGACTAAACGTCGAAGAGATATTTTAGATTCCGAGGGAGGAAATCGAGAGTAATTTTTTAAGATGAAAGTTGTTAAGAAATACTAATATTCCGTGCCAACTATTCTTCGGTTAATATAGGTCTATTGGGTCTATTCCTAACATACGATTTTCGTCTGTGACAGTAATAGCGGTAATTTCAAAAGTTTCATAAGCTTTAAACAAATAAAAAAATATAGTTTTCAATATAAAAATTAGAAGTTATATATATTTAAATAATAAAATTAGTTATTATTACAATTACTAATTATCAACTTTCAATACTTCAAAAATCTTCCATAATTGCTTGATGAAGAAGAGGTTTTAAATGTTCTTTAACCAAAGTATGTTTTTCTTCATGTGTTATTATTAAAATAGACTTGGCTCGTTTTAAAGGTTCTAGAGCTTGTTTTGGTTTTCCTAAATATAACTGAATCTTTCCTATCATAAGGTACAATATTCCAGTCAGTGGATGTACTTCACCGTAATATAGTCTGAAACATGAAAATTTGATATTATTTTTAGCTTACAAATTGGTCAATGTAAAAAATCGTTCTTACAAGGAGCCATTAGTAAGTCTTTTTGCATAAGATTCAGCTTCCTCCCAGTGTTGTAAACTTATGGTTGAATCAAAAGCACTTTGTAAAGTTTGTACATGTTGTATATTAAGTGGATGCAAGACACCCTCTTGTTTTTTTAGGCATACCTTGCTTACATCCAGATCTGATCTCTCTTATAAGAGAAGTACATTATGTGATTGGATTTGATTAAGTATGTAACTATCTATTATTACTATAAAAAAGGATACAAGCCATATCCTTCATGCTTTGTAAATGATATGCAGTGAAGTCAGATATCTCATGAAAGGTATCTTTGAATTTTTCTGGGAATTCTGTCCCACATTTTGTACATGTGTCTGTGTCAGGAGAGCAAGGATGTGTGCAAGACTTGTTTGGGCACATTGCAGCTTCAGCCATTAGTTCTGGCTGTTCACATTTTTTACAATTGCACCAAAAATAATATGAATTTTGTAATTCCATGCGTCTGTCTTTTGTCGTTTTAAGTACATCAATGTATGATATTCTTATCTACACATATATTGTTACATTTAAAATACTGTCCCCTGTCAGAAATTCAGTTACTAGCAACGAATTATATTATAACTTAGCAGAAAAAGAACTTGCCTGAGACCAATCTAAACAAGGAAGATCTACTATTGTTCTAATAGTTATAGTAGGTCCTTCAAAAGTGGCTACAGCATTTGGCATACAACTGTGATCAATAATTGAAGGTGCTAAATAAATACCAACACCAATACTATTCATGTCCAGATCAAATATATTAAAAGAATTAATACAAATTCTGCCATAAATAGCTGTTAACTCTACATAACTTGGCATAGGTTCATTTTCAAACAATTCATTTAAAATGCCACATAGACACATAAAATGTTCCATCCTTTCCTTATCTTTCTTTATATCAGAGTAATCTGATGAAATAACAAAATCAGCATCAATGAAATGAAACAAAACAAATCCTACTCATCTTCCAAATTGCTATTGGATACTCACGTGACATTAAATCCTTAAATTTTCTATAACTTGTTTCACTGTAGTATCCCATTTCTTCCCCTCCACCTTGCTTTAGTTTTATAATTATGCGAGTCATAAGTCGTGCCATATCTGGTACGACTTTTGGTAAAACCTTTTTTAATTTTGGACATTCTGTCTTGTGTATGGACCATGCATCTTGTTGACAGGAACGATTACAGTAATAAACACATTGGCAGGCAGAACATTTTGAAAGTTTTCCACTGAAATAAACACAGCTCAAAATTTATGTAAATAGTTCGTACCATCAAGTTAATATAAAATATATATAAAAAAGTTAATGAAAATGTTCTTTGAGAAATGTTTTGTATCTTTGGGCACTAAATAAAGTTTACCTTCTTAAACAATGATCGCATCGATCTCTGCTATATTTTGAACTAAGAACGTAAGCGAATGGTTTAGTAGTCAAAATAGTAGTTCCTTTTTTTAAAAAATCTTTATTAGCATTCATTTTTAATAAAGGGTGAATCAAACCAAAGAAAAAAGTACAAATTTGTAGGTAATGCTCTAAGGAACTATACAATTCTGTACATATATACTGTCACTCGAAAAATAAGAAAGAACAGTTTTATTCGAATTTCAATTTTAATATCGAATTTGGTAGAAAACTCAATGATAGTTGTTAGATATTTTCTTTGCCAAAGGCTTTGTTTACTACAATTTAAACGCTACTGCACAATTACATATTATCAACAATGATAAATATGAAAGTATGGAACCTGTCTGATTTTAGAGGATAACCTAAATGTACTCTTTAATAACCGGTGATTAAATATTTTTGTGTTATCAATTTCTTTTAACTCATATAATTGAGAAATCATGTTTCTAATATTTTAATAGGTATAATACATTTGTAAAAAGATTTATTAATTCGGAGGCTCTATATAACTATATATGTACATATATAAAAGTAACAAATTAAACATTGGAAAGCAAATGACGAATAGGAAAATTTAGTTTAATTATACATAATTACCTTTGCAAACAATGGTCACATCTGTCATTACGGTATGACGATTTCATAACATATGCAAAAGGTTTTGCAGTTAAAATAGTTGTTCCTTTATTAATAGATGGTCTTTTATATCCATTTTTTATTCTCATTCTCATTGGATACTATTTAAAATTAATTTTCAACACTTTAAAACAATATGTAACGGAACGTAATGCAATATAATGCTAAATGGATCTAGCTCTTCAACTGCTTCGTTCATGTAAGTTTACCTGTAGACTATTTTGAGACCAGTTTATTTTAGCAAATCTTATTATTGGAAGGATCTAAATTTGGTAATTAGCAGTAATCATTTGACAAGTAGACTGTAGAAAAAATTATCAATGGAAAATTTGAAATGGAATATTTATTTACAATAATTTAATTGTATAAAAATCTTGAAAACTTGGTACCTTCATTGTTCTATCTTTTATAAATTTAATTCATTAATGTTAATGTACTTTTATGGAAGAATACACCGACCTATTAAAATCATGCATGTAAATCCATCCAGGACTCAAGAGCAAAATTGGAGAAAAAATTAAAAACACACAGAAAAAATATATTTTGTTTTCCTCAGTAAACGCTGTGTCATATGTACAATGCCATTGTTCATAATATAAATTAGTCTTGGTGTTGTCTTCCTTCTGTTTGTGTCTTAAATATTAATCTTACTCTTCTGGAATTTCTTCTATTTTATCCCTATAATTCTATATATTTTAATTTGTGACATCTTAAAGTACATAACAATACCTCAACAATGTCTTTATCCGAATTGAACAATTTAAAATCGTGGATATTACAGCTTTTTATCCAAGAAATAGTAAATTTGTTATAAACTCAGTTGAGCATAGAAAGGAACAGGAATGGGAGACTGTTTTTACTTAATGATCCTGACAATGCCATGAAACGTATTTAGATGACACCATGATATCTACCACTCTTTCTTATGTTCATCCATTGATACACCTCCAGGACCTAATGAAACTATCATTAAAAGGCCACCAATCACTGACAATGTCTGCAAACAAATATATTTACATGAGCATTTTTTCCTGTGGGAATAAAATAAGTAAGAAATAATTTAAATAATAATACTAAAGAATTCATTACCTGAAAGAAGTCATATTTAAGGAAATCCCTAAGTGCTTTATATTCTGGAATGGCCCACCATGCATTATGATAAAGATTAAGCGCAGACAATAGCAAAACAAGTAACAATGCACTGAGCTTGGTCTTGTATCCAATAGTTACCAAGACCATCAAAATACTTCCAAGAATATCCTGCATTATTTGAAGGAACGATATTTCAATGCGAATCAATGTGGTAAACATAAATGCCAACAAAATTCTGCCGGCTAATTGTAGCAGATTTTTGGGTTTATTGTCTCCAAGACTAGGTACTCCAGCAAACAAAGATCTTCCTTCTACTCTTGATTCAGCCAGAACCAGAAGAAGAGCACCTATTAGTGCTAGATTTCTGAACAAAAATGTTACATCCCATAGAATGTTGTAAGCTAATGTTTGTAGGACCACTATGAAGAACAAAATTCCACAAGCAATGCTGACTTTCCATCTGCCAATAACCATGACACAACCTCCAAGCTGTCCAATTAAATTAACCAGTACAAACATTGTAGCTAAGAAAGTGCCACAACCCCAAGTACTGTTCATAAATTCTCTTTGTTCTGACCATTGAAACCACATTCTTAATCCATCTTCTAAGAATGTGGCTATAAGGCAAACTCTTGCAAGAGTTGGCAATATATGTTTTCCATTGCGGATTACCTATTAAAAAAAAAAGAATATGTAATAACTATAATGTTTCATACGTATAGAATACTCAATAGAATGTGGTCACAAAATTATTAATAAGACTTTTAATATATAGTTTGAATATTTTTTGATATTGTAACAGGGAAAAGTAGGTCTGTGAAAGTGTATTCCTACAGAGTATTGACAGTGAATGTAAAATGAAAAGAGAAAGTAAAAAACATTTAAACTGCACATTCTTTGAATATATTTTAAGTTTTATTAATACATAAGAATAAATTTCATTGGTAAATAATACAATATCCGATTAGTTAAGAATTGTTTCCGTTATTCTTTTGCAATTCTCCAAAACCGGGTGGAACAGTAATGTTTGTGGCATATATATTTTTTTGACAATGCATAACCTTTACTTTGTTAGTATATCAAAAATAATATAGAGGAGTTTGTAATGCTTGACAATAACAAAAACATTTTAAAACAATAAACAATTAAAGAGAAGATCATCAAAAATAAAATATGCAATTATATACAGGCAATCGTGCCACGATGACGTTGACAGGAGTACACCTGTGCTCCTACAGGATTTCTGCTGGCTTTCAATCGCGAGATTCTTTCCAAAAACAGAACTACATACTTTAAAAAAGTAAGAAGAGCACAATGGCTTGTAAATTCACCTGGTCAGCGATTTCCTCTGCTTTCGAGATCACCTCCTGCGAGATCAGCATCTTGTTTTATTCAAAAATCAAAAAATAACCCATACACTCACGTCTATACACGTGCGCGCACGCAAGTAGTGCCGACAGAAAAGAGAGAAGCAGAGATAGAAAAAGAGAGAAGGAGAGAGGGAGAAAATCGGAGAAACACGGAACAAGTAGGCACAATAGCTTGGCACGACTGTGCGAACGATATTCTTGCGGCCTTCCGAATGATGTGGAGATCGAGCACGCGTCACTTCCGGCATACGTGGTCAAACAACTTATTCCGTATCTTTTCGAAAGTATGTACATAGATCAATGGGTCACACGAATTACATTCATTCCCTTGTTTTTGAACAATGTCATCACTATATACTTTGCATTCTGCAATTTCTTTTCCTCTCTTGAAACGTTTCAACATTATTGTATGTTTTTTAGATCTCAAACATACTACTATAATCGGTGGCAATATCAGTTTTTAACTTCAACGTGTACCTGAAGAATACTATACTATGTATTTTTTACTACGATGATCATTTATCATCTATTATCCCTTGAGAAATTCATGCAATTAGAAGGAAATAGGAAAAAGTGCGAAGCACGTTGTGGCGGGTCTAGTTCTTAATTTTAGAATAGTACCATAAAATATATGACAGCACTGGAGCGCCATCGTAGCTACATGCGCTTCATGTCACAAGTAGATAATTCCTCTCGTGCTCCGTTTCGTGAACGTAAAAACATTTGTGTTGTTTATCGTATTACGCTATCTAAGAATAAATGAATATGTGTTTATCATGTGACAATAAGAGTTGTGCATAATACGTGAATCGATTAAAATTCGGGCACCTTCATTATATCAAAAGCTTTCCTTATTGTAAGATTGTACAAGCTATGCTTTCAGAAAAATATTTTTGATAAGATTTCTTTGATAAGACATACTCCTAGTATTCGCGGTATTCTTGACCGAGGTAATAAAAAATTGATACGCATTTAGAGCATGCCTTGTAAATAAACTGGCAAATTTTGGATATCCTACCTACGTATGGGGACAAGTCTATTGTTTGGCAAGTTTATGTTTCATGTTTCATTTTACAGTTATCAGATCCTTTCTTGTCTTGTGCAAATAAGTAGAAATTTCATTTGATAATTTTTAACATTTTGTATTTTAATGGAGAATATAAAGTAGTAAAAATTAAGGGCACATGTCGTAGCTTTATTTTGTTATTTCAGAATAACCAACATGGCTCAAGAAGTTGACCACAAGTTACTTAGAGAAGATTTTGATGCTGGTCCTTCTAGTTATGATGAAGTTATTCCTGGTTTATTTCTGGGAAATCTTACAGCTGCCACAGATATCAAATGGTTAAAAGAAACTAAAATAAATTATATACTTACAGTAGATTCGTGTCCTTTACCTCGGAAGATTCAAGAACTTTTGCCAAATCTAACTGTAATGTATATTCAAGTTACTGACCTGCCACGCGAGGATCTCCTTACCCATTTTGGAGATTCATACGAGTTTATAAATCATGCGTTAGAAACAAGCAATAGAATATTAGTGCACTGTTATTTCGGTATTTCCAGATCTGCCACATTAGTAATTGCTTATTTAATGAAAAAATATGGGAAAAGTTTCTTCAACGCATTTGAAGTTGTGAAAGAGAAGAGACATTGTGTTGAACCTAATGCTGGTTTCTTAGCCCAGCTGAAATTGTACGAAGAAATGAGTTTTGATATAGATAACACTAATGTACAATTCAAAATGTATAGGTTACAAATTGCGGCAGATAAAGTTCGGAAAGCAAAAATTTTACCACAAAACTGTGCAGAACTGATAAAGCCAGATCCAGCCCTTACTACAATACGTCCAGAACCGACAGTTTATCGTTGTAAAAAATGTCGAAGAATCGTGGCAAGTGTGAGTAATATTTTGCCACATGTCCCAAAGGAAAAACAGATATGGAGGCATATAAGTACAAAGAGAACATCTAAACAATCAAAACCTGTGCACGAGCCTTTGGACTTACAAAAAAAGGATGAGAACCAGCCTGTAGAGTTTTGTACTAAAATACTCTTTGTCGAGCCTATGGCTTGGATGCCCGATATAACGCACAATGTCGAGGGAAAATTGAATTGTCCAAAGTGCAGTACAAAGCTGGGTTCTTTTAGTTGGATAGCAGGTAGTCAATGTCCATGCGGCAGCAAAATAGCACCCGCGTTTTACTTAGTTCCCTCCAAAGTAGACTGGAGCAATGCTGTGCAAAATGTTCAAGTAACTGTATAGTACTAGAGATGTATCTATATATTTAAGAAGTTTTGGACGGACAATTAACATATATAAGAACACATTTTTTAAACCTTTTTACGTGATTGTAGTTTGTTTAGTATTGTAACAAACGCAAATGTGACCAACAACATGTCTGTAAAATTGGTAGTCTAATTTTGTGCCAACGTTAACGTACTGTGTGTATGTACAAAGAATCGCAATTTTATGACTCTAAACATTTCTTGCCGCAACGACTAAACGACCCGTTCTTCCATAATTTAATTTTTGTATTTATATACACATTCCTTTTGTCTACTATTATCGTACGTAACGTAATAATTTAGTAGATTAAAATACCATCTATTGTATATATTTCTTGCATCGATGATACAATACATTACGATTTCTACCATTCATTAATCTACAGTTGTTCCACAAAATAACGTTATCTCCATTTTACCCTGTATTTGATACTTAAACGCTAAATTTCGTGCAGTTACGATCGACACTTTTATCATTCTCCGTAAAGAAGTTAAAAATTATGGTAATCAACGAAGTATATACCCAGGGGGGGGGGTTGGTTGCAGCGCGAATCGAAACATTTTGTTTCACATACTCGCGTGCATAGCCGAATATGCGGGTCCGTACGGATGCGTTCTAAACCTGAGTGCGTTCAGACCGTTCATCGTAGATCCTTCCAGTCCACCGTGAATTTCCGTCTGATGATAAGAGGGAATATTCATGTTTCCCAGATTACCGTTGATAAACCCGTGACAGGTTGAAGATGTTTGCATAGAGGTATAGTGTTGCGACGATCTCCAATACTCGCCGTATGGATATTGAGCCATTTGAGTCGTCTGTAAAGGTTCGGCGTTGTTTTCTTGGGTGTGTGTTATTCTGATAGGTCGCAAAGGTAAGGCGGTTTCCATTTCCTTGGTCGAGGGGATGCCCCGATTAATAGCGGAACTTCTTTCGTTTCGACGAAATTTTGCGCGTCTGTTCTGGAACCATACCTGCAAGTAAAACCGCTATCGTTTGAAAATTGTATCGAAGTCGCGGTTTACCGAAGGGATGGAAGAGAAGAATGGCAAGAAGAGATTCGTCGGGGCGAATACGGGACGAGACGGGACAGCGTGACGGCTCCTGGCAGGCGTGTACTGTCCGCAGAGACAGACATTCGCAGCAGACACGGGATCTGGGGAACGCGGCGGTGGTGGTAGTAACGGATGGATCGACACGAGCAACGAAAAGTGTGGTCTTTGCATGGTCATGTACAGAAGGCTCAAGACATCACACACGTGCAGGATACGCGGCGCATCATATCCCACACCGTATGCCAAGCACAGATGCTGTTACTGGAACGACGCAACTATCCCGGCAAGCTAATCATAGCTCCTTGCCCTGACAACCTGTCTCCTTCGATTTTCTGCCTAGCTGTCCGCAACCTCCACCCTCCTTCCCCGTTTCTTTCGTTTCTTTTTTCTCTTCTTCCTCTTCCCTCCACGACTCGGTGTCTGCCTTTCCTTCTACCGCTATCCACCATGATCTCGAAGAACACATGTGGACCTGGCCCACCAGTGCTACGATACTTTTTTCTGACGGGCATTCTTCCTTTTTGCAAACGTGGAAATCATCTTCAAAAGACTTTACCGCACGGAAGGACGAACCTTTTTTTCGTACGGTCAATCGTGAACCGAGATTAGTCCGGTGAATTTCTTTGGCAAAGTTTACGACTTTTTCCGCTCGATTTTCCACAAATACACATTTTTATGTATCGCAACTATATTCGAACACTACTGCATACAAGAAAACATTTCTACCGTTACCTGGACTCTTGCTTCCGATAAGGAAACACGCGTCGCCAGTTCTTCTCGAACAAAAGCGTCAGGATAATGCGTCCTCAGCACTCTCGTTGCATTCTATAAGTCAAGATGAAGGTGTTTTCGAGATGCCGATCGCGATAAAGGAAAAGCAAACGCGACCAAAAAAGAAAAAGGCGAACGAGAAGAGAAACAGTATGTATGTACAGGCATGGCTATTCTTGAATGACTTCACTGTGTTTGGGCATTCATCGAGGCGGCATAACGCAAGCAGTATGACTGGAAATGCGTGATTTCGATGGAATCAAACGCGATGCAGACTGTGGATTAAACGTGGAAATACATCAACGATCTATTTCGCTTGTTCGCCTCTTTGCGAGCGACGCGGTTTGCGATTTTCTTCGCTGTTTACGTAACGAAATTACGTAAAACATTATCAGGCTATAAATGGGCTTTCGCGAAGACTATCAACTAACGTTCAAACAAATGACAGCTTCTGTCTGTTATGCGGTGACAGACTATGAAAAGAAAATAATTTACAGTATCACCCACCGATTGACGATTTCTAGACTCTTACCTAATGAATGATTCGGTGTTGATAAAAGGCGCGAGACCGTGAAATCTTGCGGCATATGATTGTTCGGGACTTGTGAGACTATCACGCTGTTGTTTCCCTCTTGTTCTGCATTCGCGCACAACATTTTTTTCGCTTCAACGATCGGGCTCTTGAGTCGAGCGTCGATCAACCGTGCCTTTTGCGGTGGTTGCGATTCAGGAGGTTTTATTATTCTTCAAGGGGCTGCGCTACTCCGTTTTCAAAATGGATTATTGTAAACTTTGACGGTAAATTTTGTACAATGATCTCGTAAATGCGGTATTCCAGAAATTACAAAATCACATTTCCCCTTTTGTCAAGCTCCATAAACGAAAGGTCGTACAGTCGAATAATTCGCTGATATGCGACAATTATTTACGAGGGATGGAGATGTACGAGGAAACCCTTTCATGCGTAATTTACAGCCGAATATGTTAACCGAAGCATTGTCGAGGTGAAGCGTGACGAAGCAATTAGGGTCTCGTGCCACGTGTTTGTGAGCACGATCTTCCATGAATATTATCGATATACCGTTATCAATCCCACACTGTTTTTCTCATATTCTGTATGTTAATATTATCGAAACGATAATTTTTTGTTAATATTAGAATAATCGTCGAATGATACACAGATTGTATTAATAATATTCTTCCTATTAATCGCAGTACATCGATACACTTCAATTTTGCGTAAGTGCGTATGCATCGGTTAAAATTCAATTACCACTTTTTATACTTTTTTCGCTGGTTACACGTGAATATCAGAGGTGAGTTACCAATAAATATACGTGTATATTATCGGTCGTTACAGTTGATATTTTTTCCGGCAGTTACGCTCAATTACGATTCGTTTCAGTTCGCGACAAGGGGTGATTTGGTCGACGGTAACCTTCACCCTCCGTATTAAAGTCCCATCGCGGGAATGGAAATTAGGCAAAGTAAAGTAATTCTTGGCCCACCGATAACTAAGTATCCTGTTACTTCTAGTAAATTCTTTAGTTATTATTGTGACGTCGTGTCATTCCTCTCTGTCCCGCACTACTTGGAATATTTCAGAATGTTTATTCTTTTATAGTCTTGGCGGTTTCACGTGGGTTTTGACGAATCGTAAAAGTTTCTTGATGCCGCTAAGTTTTCGTGACGAAAATCTCTGTCGCGGCCACTTTACTGGGAAACTTTGTAACGGCAAGGCTACTGCAAAATTCCTGTCGTTTCGTTTACGAACCAGAAATTCGCACGGTTAATCACCCACAGTGGAATCGTCGATACCATCGAAACGATCGCGTTAAACGTTCTTGGAACGGAATCCCTCGTTTTCACTCGTTGTCGCGCCCGTGTAAATCACAACTGATCGATCGATTTCACCGAATGATCGCTACGAGAACTGTGTTCGAACAAAGTCATCATATTAGTCGGGGCGGCGGGATGCCAACTGACTTGGCCGAGTTAAAACGTACTTGAAGATCTCCTCCTCGGCCTCTTCATTTGCTTCTCGTCTTCGTCCCTTCTCCTCTCACCCCATCACTCTCTTTCAAACTTACTCTCTCCCTCTCTTTCTCTGTTTCACTCTACTGTTTTTCGTTCCCGTCTCGATCTGCCTTCTACGCAGAGGGACACGCACTCGGGAGAGGAGAGAAATAGAGCATTTTAAGAGTAGGTGGAGATTTCCTCGCCAAGCTCCACCTTCATTAGAAGCTCATTGGTTTCTAAACGGCACCACGGCCTTTTGACGTTTTCTAGACAGTACTCTTCAGGGTGAAGTAGAGTTACGCGCACGCGGCTGCCTCTTCAGAAACTTCAACGCCGTCGCGGTTATTTATTCGCAGGAAAGGTAAAAAGACATCTTTTTTATTAACAAAACAATGGAGCCACTCGGATTCTTTATAATCCATTACGTATTATCGTTAACGATTTCCGATCCATCTTTGACTAAAAATTCATACATATTTTTCGCATTCGAATTCCCTACGAAACCCTGCAACACTAAAGTTGTATTACTCGGCGTTTTACAGGAAAACAGTAATATGCGGGAGGCGCCGGCGTCATGATGGTTTCAATTTTCACGTACACGCCGAACCACGGTTCTTTATGCACCGGAACATTGGTCTTCTTCATCGCCGCGGCTTGGCTCCCGTTACACAAGGGTGTCGGGTAACGATTTCGTCTTAATGCGAGAAGCCTGATCTTTTCTCTTCTGGCCCGATCGTTCCTCGTTCCTCTCGGTATAATATGCATATAAGTATGTCTCTGATTCAAATTAACAGAAATCTTGCCTGTTCAAGTCCGTTTCCCGTTCGCTGAACTTTAACGTCTCCTATCCCGTTCCGCTTTTTTAACGAGAAATCTGTTGAATACGTCGGCAACAGAAAGTCGCGTTACACAACTGTCCTTTTCTTGGCGATATTACGCTCGACAAAAAGGATCATCTATATACATTTCATATCCGATAAGCAAACAAACTTTAAATTTACGTCGATCGAATCCAAAGACTTTCGATGTTTCCCTGCTACGATTAATCTTTCCGAAAAATATACAGTTCCCTGTCACAATGTATTCCTGTGTAAACACGAACCTGGGCTAAAAAACGAGGACGCGTTCGCATAGGAAAAAAACTGTTGGAAAAGCTCGCGGGGCCTAGGTCAGTACAAACAAATAAGGGTACGGGAATGGGCCGAGCGTTTAGATATGTTCTGTCACGAGTGAAACATTGCACCCTAAAATTATGGTCTCTCCATAGTTCTATGATTTCTTTTTTTTTTTTTTGTTCATCGCATCGATATACCGAAAGTCAAACAGTATCGGTTTGGGGTTCGCTCGATGGAGAATTCGCGTTCTGTTGTCGATGAGAATTCCGAATCACAGGAGGCAGACGTAAAAATCGAGTTCGGGTGATTGGAATTCGAGAAGAAAAGAAGAACAACGGTATTCTTTACGGTGTTACGAGGGAACGTCGCGAAAATGCATTAAAAGCTGTAGGAACGGAGTGTCGACAGCTGACCGCGTTCTATACTTTAACCTGGAGCAAATGTTGTTGGCTCTCGGCAACAATTATATTCCCGGCGATTTTATTTATACGAGGCTTTTACGAGCGCAGTCATTCTTGCTGTCAACCGTGCCGGCCCAATAAAACGCGTCTGTGGCTCTCGTTCGTTCGCGCTGCCCACTTTCGACGCACGCTCAGACCGAATTATTTTCCTCGAAATAAGTAGGTGAGACCTCTAACCAACGAGTTAGAGTTATACGCTCGAATCCTTAGACAACGTATCGATAATAATAGTTGAGTATAGGATACACGTGTTACGATTGATTTTCATTGTTTTACGATTTTCTCGTTTTACCTATCGCAAGTGAGTTATGAAAAAACTTTAGTGCTTCGAAGTTTTTGTGATCGTTGTCTGTTCCACGATACCATACGAAGGAAGAAACTACGGAACGGCGAGAACGACGGTTTCTTTTCAATGAAAGAACAGGGAGAAACGTTTGCCTCGGAGGATGGCAATAAAGTATCCGGAGTTTCGTTTTTGGTGTTACAGTCACGACGAGACGGACGGGTGCGTCGCGACGCGGTGACACGTACACGTCGAGCGTCGCGGCGACGTTCGCCAGAAAATTATGACTCGAGCCTGGACATTCTGCCCTGTCTTTGTAACCCTCTTTCTTCTCGCGAGACTTGCCGTGTTTCTCTCAGACATCGTGTTTTCCTCTGTCGCTTTTGTTCCCCATTTTCTCTGCCTTTCTTTCTCCTATTTTCTTCTTTAAGCTTGACGAGACGACGAAGTCGAGCGCAACGATAAATGACTTTCTATAGTCCCCTTTAATATAAACCCTTTTTACCCAGGTACTTTTAGACGATCGCGCGATCATTCTCGGGAGGGAAAGTGTTTAGTGTACGATCGACGATAAGTTGAAAGTGTTAAACTGGTATTTATTTTATATGCACACCGGCGAAAAGTTTCAATTCACCACGGGACAATTGTTGTTTTCAATGTTTCTCCCCTTCTGTTGGAATCGTTCTCGGCTCGAGAAGTCGCGAAGGGTAAAAGGGGATCTGGAGGGAGAGAGACTGGCATGCGTCGGGACTGATCAGTGTCCGACGTGTTCTGTAGGGCAATGGAGAGGAGGGGTCCTCCGAAACCACAGATGCAGTTCTGACCACCGTGGCGGTGATCGTTGCTTGACAATCCTCGAAATAGCTTCCATATGTGTGGCTTTCGAGGAAACGGTGCCTCGAAAGTATTTTTCATATATTTCCATATTTGCGATTGCCCTTTTCTTTCGTCACGGTCCGTGGCGCGTATCCCGCCGGGACCTGTGCAATTGCGATCAAGTGGGGACCGTACCTGCATACATTTCTTGGACGCTTTGCGGCGCATATGTCGCCTAAATGTTCCAACATCGCAGGGGTTACGAAAGCTTACTCGACTTTCCGTTGTAGTGTGTTATTCGAAGCCCTTCATCGAGTTTGAGGTTTTCAATAGGAACTTGTTCCGTCATCGTTCCGTAATTCTAGCTTCCAATACAATGACGCTTTCTTGCCGCGACATTTTTACGAATGCCACGAAAACATGACTATACACTTTTCTCGATAGCCAGCCCCCGATTCATCGAATGGATTTATTTGCCACTATATTAAATGCACTTCCGTCGGTTCATAAATTCCGGCTGCAAGTCATGTTCGAATGTTGTCACAGTGCTTCCAACAATGGGTCTCGAAGCGTTCGGAGTTCGTACGGATGCTTGTCGATCTGTTCTCGACATCTCGGGCTCGAAATAAGGGAGGCTCGTTTCAAGCGGAAAATGGTCGGGATGAAACGATATTTAGAGAAATTTGCTTTCTCCCAGGGAAGACGACTTTCTATCCCACGTCGTGGAAAACCGACGATCGTCACGGTGAAGAAACACGTGAATTTACGATGATTACCGAACGACCAACTTCCGAATACTTCTTTCAAATTTGCCACTCGTCGGCTGCATGTGACCGTCGAAGGGTGCGAAGCAAGCGACGCTTAATGTCCCGTGACGCCTTAAATCTAACCTCGGAAGGAGACTCTCGTCGGATGTATCGCCGAAAGGAGCAACTTGTCCCCAGAACACGGAAGGCAAGAAT